AGAGAAGCTGTGGCTGCCCCATCCCTGGCAGTGTTCAAGGCCAGGTTGGACACAGGGGCTTGGAGCAAGCTGCTCTAGTGGAAGGGGTCCCTGCCTGTGGGAGGGGACTGCAACTGGAGGAGCTTTAAGGTCCCTTCCAACCCAAACCAGTCTGGGATTCTATGATTCATTCTATGAATTTTGTGGTGGGATTGACAAAGTTGAGTTACCCTCCGACTTGTGCTCAGAGTGCAGCATCTGAGCAATCCATCTCTTATTTATAGAGCCAGCACACAGAGCAAACAGCTAATATAATTCACACGTCTGCCTTACACACAGCCTCAGAGAGGCAGAAAGCAACCTACAGCCAACAAAAATAATGTGCATAAAGGAGCAGAGGCTCAGAGCTCAGCGTCAAGGACAGAACGCACCATGTCCCGTACTGAGGAGGCACCTGCTTTCATTCCTCAGCACAAAAATAGGCTCCCTTATCCACCAAAAGCAGCATGCTCTCTAAGAAAGGATGATGAACAGCAAGGAGAGGAGACACTGGAATTCTCATCCTATGGAGTCAACACTCAGATGGAATAAATCTTCCATCAGAAGCATCCTAAGAGTCTTTGTGCAGCTACATCCTTCTTCCAGGAGGAAAAAACCCCACCACTGTATTTCATTGACATCAAAATGTCAACATGCATGGAGATGCCTATCACTCTCCTACATGCTCCACCAAATATAGCCTCCACCTCCCCATTTCCTACTGTCAATAGAAGGAACTCCTCCTTGGAGCCTGGCAGGCAACTCATCTGCTACAAAACCAGTGTTAGACAGAAAAGTCCTTCCCATGAAGCTGAACACCTCAGGTGACCTCCAAAACCAAGTGGGTGCACAGCATTAATCACTTGGGCATCCTCTCCCAGCTCCTCTTAGTAACACTTCTAGTCAGAACAAAAGGTCTGCTCCTAGTTATAAACTGTACTACTCCCACAAGGATAGTGGGCTCTAAGGTTTCCCAGCAAGTGGTGCTATCCCATAAGGATGTACAGCTCCATTCAAGCCTCCCATGGAACTGTCCAACAGGAAACTGGTTCGGCCCCACTAGTTTTTGGACCAAACCAAAGGTAACAAGACCAGAATTAGCAAGACACCATGAATACTGAAAACAACTGCTGCAATGAATATAGATAGACCTGAATTCTCCACAAAGCAGGATAGGCCAGGTTTAGCTTGGACAGTTAAGAGGCTCCTACTACCCATGGTACAAAGAAAATCCTGTATTGACTCTTGACTTTAAAACCTTTCTCCACACTCCAGTGATAATGGCACAGCTTTTATATTGGAAAGTAGTGAGAGTTCCTGGTGGAAACTGAAGTTACAGGTGGAAAAGAGAAGATGCCAATAATGTTCAGCATTTCATGGTTTGCAATGCCTGAAAACCAGGGGGTTGCTGGGATCTATTTACCTGGCTTGGATTTACATGCAAAACAAGCTCATGAAGAGGTTCACAACAGCTGGCACACAAATTCACTCATTAAAGCAAGTGAGAAACAGGCTGAGGCAGGGGTGTTTGCATGCACAGAACGGTAGAATCATGGAATGGTTTGGGTTGGAAGGGACCTTAGGGCTCATCCAATTCCAACCCCATGCCACAGAGGGCTTGGAGCAACCTGCTCTAGTGGAAGGTGTCCCTGTCAATGGCAGGGGATGGAACTACATGAGCTTTAAGGCCCCTTCCAACACAAACCATCCTCTGATTCTATGATTCATTGGAGGCGTCGTGTGAGTCACCACAAGTATCTGTTTCAAGTGCCACCTCAGTGCACTTTCAAGTGCACCATTTTCAATCTTTCTACTACAGCAACTACTACATAGTAAGAGTAAAATCCCCACCATGCAGAAGTTATTCAAAAAGATTCAAAAAGACTAAGGGTTGTATTTTTAAAATGATTTTATTTAGTAACTCAAGCACTGGGTAATCAGCAATACAAGAAACCTTCACTGTATGTTTTCCTATGTACCTACTTCAAGCAGCGTGGATCTACTAGAAGCAGCATGGAAAGATAATGTCCAAGGCTAAATGTTACAGTACTACTTGTACTGAAAGTCATCAACAGAAGCAGCATATGAAAGTCTCTATTATATTTTCCTGGTAAAAGGGATCCAAGGGCACAGCGGAGTCACTGCATTCTGCTCCTTCCTAGAAGATACACTCCCAGATCAGAGTAAGGGAAAATAATAGTAATTCCCAAAACCTCCAAGAGCCTGACAGACTTGGAAATCTCCCTCATTTGGCACATGAAGAGCCAGTACAAGCAGCAATGGGAACATTCTCAGAGCATGGAAATGGCAAGTCTGACATGATGTAGCCTAGAAGCAAGATCTACAACAAAGGCAGCCCAGGTGCTCCCAACCCCGACTCCTGCAGCCATTTGGGGCTCTTTATTTTCACTTAGGAGGCTGAAATCTTCCAGGCTTGAGCTTGCCATAAGTGAAACTTGTTGGTTTAAGCCTAAGAAATGATGATTCAGGCTCCTGAGTGATAGAAAAACTATGGAATTCCAACACCTGAAGAAGGCCTCACACCAAAATACCTGGATTCTGAAAGGTGACATCTCCGCAGCCAAGCAGTTGTGGGGGTTTTTTATCCAGGGAAGTTGAGACAATTAATCCAAGTGCAACATTACAGCATGTGAAGCCCCCGCATGGCCAACCTTACTCAAAATCAAAGCAGTCTTCACTCACCGCAGCTTAATCCACTGTGAATAAGTTTATGCCACACACTTTCCCAAGAGAGCTACAGAGAAGGGCAACCACCAACTGACATGACACACACTAAAGGACTCTTGCTGTCAGAGCTGGTGTTTTGCTATGATGGCTTTTCTGCTTCTGGGGTCAGGGTATTTGTTGTTCTGGCACACTGGGCAGCTCAGCTGGGATGGCACAGTCCACATCCACAACACAGACTTGTGTCAGGGTAACTTACACAGTTACACAGAGCACTGCCCAGCCAAGTTACCTCCAAAGGAGCACCCGTGGATGATGTTAATACTACACACAAGGTAACGGGGTCCACAGAAAGACTTTGATTGAACTGAGAGGCTCCATGCCAAAAATCATAGTGCCTACACACACACACTCCAACACGGGCTCTATCCAGGCTGCCAACCAACACTTTACAAGACCCGTGCTCCATTCCACCTACACAACGCGAACATACACCAGGCCACACACTTCGCAAGGCACAGATGCTACTACAGTACATGGAGTTGTAGGGACTGCACAAAACACGTACTGGATGAGGCAGAGGGTTCCCCATCTCACCCTATGTATGGCCTGTGTGTAGGAGCCCATACCTCATTGTAAAGCCTGTACATTAATGATGTGAGACTTCTGAAAAACAACTGTAATACAGTAAAATACAGTAAAGCCCAGCTGCAGCACTCTATAAAAGAGTGAACACATGTAGAACATTACATAAACATATGAGATTATTTAATTAAAGGCTACACTATGACACTTATCCATGATGGACAAGATTAAAATCCTGCAACAAGAGTTAATATAACCCTGACCTTTCCAAAGTTACCACCCTCATACTTTCTCTTTCACCTTTAATATATAAAAGCAGCTGCTCCCCAGTTTCATCATGAGCAGGAAAATACAACATGAAAAATAAGCAGTTTCTCATCTATTTCCTCAATATTAGGCCATTAAAAGTTCAATATAACAGGTTTTAAAGATCAGCAACTGTGATGCAGATGAACCAGAAGATGAGGTGATGCCACTGCTAAAGGATGAACACAAGTCGCCATGATGTCTTGAATGAAACCCAAAAAGAATGATTACACACAGCCACCACGACACTGAAAACACTCTCACCATGCCCACTACATGGGAAGAGGGTCTAAAACCATGCCTGGACAGCAGCAAGGCTAACGCACTAGAGACACAAACCACAACAGCAGTGCTCCTCCTATGATAAAAATCCTCAATTTTGGAAATAATGAAGATAATTCCAATGGAGGAGGAAAAAAAGAGAACAGAAATTCAAATCCCAGAGCTGTGCACAGAAAACATCTCCCCCACTACAGAAACTACCTGTAGCTGCAAGAAAGCCAAGACCGAGTAACCCCACACCTATGAAGGCTTTTGAGCCGAATACTTCTGCCCTGTAATTACTATTTACACTAAGTCGTGAACCAGGTTCTCTCCAGAGCCTGATGTTGTATAACCCAAGAACAAAGAGATACAATTTATACCCCTTTTGGGGGGTATATTAAAGAGAAAAAAAGATCATTCGGCTTGTGCGAATAACAGCATCTCAACTCGCTGCCCTGCTCCACAACTCATATTCAGAAGGGCAGCGCCGGCCCAGGACGCTGCCACAAGGCATCCATTTGCAGTCAGAAAAAAACGAAAAGGAAAAACAAATAATAAAAAGGAAAGGGAGAGAAAAGGGAGGGATAAAAGGAGGGAAGAAAATAAACGGGGGGGGGGAAAGAAAAGCGAAGTACCGCAAATGGCCGTAGCCGCGGCCCAACTCCCCTCCTCGGAGCGGGACGGGCTCACAGCGGGGCCGGGGCAACCTGCTCCCGCAGCCCGCAACACTCGGCCCGGCCCGGCCCGGCCCCAAGCGTGGGCCCGCGCCCGCCCTTCCCTTCCCTTCGCTTCGCTTCCCGCCCCGCTGCCCCCCCCTGGGAGGGCGCTCGGTTCCCCCGGGCTCCGCCGCCCTCGGCCGGGTGATGCCCCCGCCAGGCCCCGCGGCCGCCGCCCCGCCGCCAACCACCACCACCCCCCCGCTTCCATCCCTCCGGCGGCCGGGCGGGAGCGGCCCTCGCTCCGCTCCGCTCCGCTCCCCTCCCTACGGCGGGGCCTAGCGCGGCCTAGGCGTCCCCGCGGCGGCGCGGAGGGGAGGCGCGGGCGCCGGAGCCGGGGGTGCCTGGGCGGCCGGCGGGGGCCCCCGCGTTGCTGCGGCTGCGCCGGGCTGGAGGAGCTGGGAGATTGCGCGGTAGGACACTCACCTCAGAGCGGCTGCGCTGCAGCGGGCCTGCGCCGTGGAGCCTTGTGGCGGGAGGAGGCCGGGGAGGGAGCGGAGCGGGAACGCGGCGCGGCTCGCCCTGAGCCGCCGCAATGGCGAGCGGGAGAGGCGGAGACCGGCGGCGGCGGCGGTGGCGGGAGGAGGCCGGGGGGAGAGGGAAAGAGCGGGAGGGGTGGAGGAGGAGGAGGAGAAGGAGGACGACGACGTATGGCGTCATAGCCCGGCGCCGCCGCCATCATGAGGAGGGCGAGGCGGCTGGCAGCGGGCGGCCACCGGCGCCATGTTGGGGAGGTCGCCGGTGCCCCTGCCCCGCGGAGCCGGGTGTGAGGGGTGGAATGTATCGAAGGTGTCGGAGACCATGGGCTGGAGGAAGCACAGCAGGCGGTTGGGAGGGACCCGTCCCTGGCTGGTGCTTGGAAGATGTTGGAACTCTTGGGTGTTGATAAGAACAGATAGACCTCTTGCCAGATGTCGTAAATGCAACCTCAAGGCGGACACAGATGTGCTTGGAAGCATATAAATATCGTGTAATCCTTGTAATAAACGATCAGCTTGTACTCCAGCTCTGGAGCAGTGCCTCCATCCTCACAGCCGGGGCGCCATGGGGGGAGCGAGGGGGTGCGGGCGCCATCTTGAGGAGGTTGCGGCCCTTTTTCCCGCCTCAGCGCAGTGGGTTTGGGCGGGAGAGCGCTGAGGGGCGGTGGGACCCGGCCTGGGCTATGGTTCCAAGCGCGGTTTTATGTGGAACAAAACCCGTTTAAACCATCCCGCTCTGCGGCGTGGCCGTGGTTTACCTGCCCGCACACCGCTCTGGTGGGTTTGGGGTAGGAGAAACGGTATTGCTGAGCTGATGCGGGGTTCAAATAAAGAGGTATTCAAATAAGAGATCGGGAGGTGGCGGCTGTGCGAGAGGCCATCTGTTTGGAGCTGTAAAGCGTAGAGCCGCCAGCGGGAAGCAGCTGGGGCTCCTCAAACGCAGTTTGGGCTCATGCCAAGGGGAAGGGTGTCCCTGCGGCTCCTCACTAAACACAGATAAAGCTGTCTTAAAGCAACTGACAGCCCATTTTCTGCCCTGGCCACAGGCCGGCTCCACAGAGCTGCTCGTTTCCATGGCTGCCCTCTGGGTGTCAATGGACCAAACTCATCTTTAGCCCCACTAATTACTCTTCTTCCTGGTGTATGGAAGCTAAAGGTTTCTTGTATTATCGTATCAGGGCTTAGAGACATCTACTGGGGTCACAGCCTGGTGCTGGGAGAAGGTGTTCAGAGAATCCCAGACTGGTTTGTGTTGGACGGGACCTTAAAGCTCATCCAGCTCCAACCCCTGCCACAGCAGGGACCCCTTCCACTGGAGCAGCTTGCTCCAAGCCCCTGTGTCCAACCTGGCCTTGAACACTGCCAGGGATGGGGCAGCCACAGCTTCTCTGGGCACCCTGTGCCAGCGCCTCAGCACCCTCACAGGGAAGAGCTTCTGCCTTATCTCCAACCTGAACTTCCCCTGTTTCACTTTGAACCCATCACCCCTTGTCCTGTCACTACAGTCCCTGATGAAGAGTCCCTCCCCTTAAAGGTAGCCGCTGTCCCCAGGCAGCCTGGGGGGGTTCAGTAGGAACCTGAAATATAAAGGATTTTGCATGCAGAGGGAAATGATAAAAAATGGGTATAAATCTGTGTTTTGTAGGAGGGAGCCTTAAGATGGGACTTGACGTCTGATGCGCTGAAGCTGTCAAATTGAAGACGCTTTCCCCACACCCAATGGATGACATGGAAAATAGAATGAGGACAGGTTCTAGGAGAAGAGACAACAGAAGCCGGTTAAGAGCAGCCTGGAAAGCAAAATGTTTTCGGTAATATCCCTTCATTAAGCATCTTAAATGTTTTTTTATGCATTTTCTGATAAAGATTTGGCAGATCAGAAATTCACTCCACTTTCATATTGATCATAGTTTTATTTTGGTTGCTGTAAAATGCATGTAATTTGTTTCACTTCAGGACCATCTGTGCCTAGTAAAAGCCTCTTCCATGAGTATGTCAGTGTACTGAAAATGCTAAGTTGTCGTTACACTAACATCCACAGCTGGGGTTTTACAATTTCCCTTGAAGCAGGCAGTTCCAGGCCCTGCAGAAGGGGATGTGGCCTACATGGATAGCTTGGGGCACTCTACAGATTTACTCATAGGCAAATACAGAGAATATAGAAGTAACTTCATGTGATGGCCATCGAGTTTTTCCATTCACAAATAGAATAAAGCAATAGTAGATAAATTCTTAGGGCAGGAAGTGATGACCATACTATATCCATGTGAAGGTGCAAGAATATGGAAAGCGTGGTGTGGAAGACACACACTAACTGGTGTGCTGCATCTGCAGAGCCATCTGAGGCATTGGCATGTGTATCAGTTTGCTTGGGATCGACTGTCCACTCTACAGTCACACTCCAGTTGTTGCTTCAGCAGTGCCCCTGCATTCTGGGGAGGGGAATCTTTGCTACCACATGCACCTTGTGGGTAAAATAACACCTCTGCTTCTTGTGTGAATGGTATCTTGGCCCATAGGCTCAATTACCTTGAGTTTTGGGTGCTCTGGATTTCTGCCACTGGCCTCCCGTAGGTATGAAATGTGGATCCAGACCAGATGATGAATTACACCATGATGAACGTAACTCTTGCTGCAGAGCCAGGAAGGTGTTTTGGCTGGGCTGGTGTTCCTTGAAGATGGGGGAGGGAGTGCCAATGCAGGCAGACGTGTGGAGGCAGCTGTTGTGGACTGTAACAGCAATGGAATTCCCTTGTGGTAATCAGTAGGTTTGGAGCAGGGCCACGAGCACTGAGACCTGGGACTGTGCCACGCAACAGCCCTGGTGTAACCAACCCACAGTGACCCAGAATCAATGCAGGCGGAAGGTCACTTCCTGGTACATCACAGGAAGATAAAGGAGCCACCAAGATCATTTCATAATGGTGGGATGTGATAATACTGGAAGAGCCTTGGAACACTCTGGAGTCTCCCCCAGAGCATCTGCAGCTCTGGAATTGGAGGGTTTAAGAACAGGTTAGACAGAATACCACTCAGGAATGCTGCAGGTAGAGTCGCTCCTGCCTCAGGGAGAAGGATGTATGACGTGACATCTCGGGGTCCCATCCAGGTGGGTATTTCCAAGGCCACATGTTGCTAAGGGGTTTGGAATGGGCAGATCAGATGAGTCAGTGGCTGTTGAGAGGGCTGGGACTGGCACAATGTTCTTTTTCCCACCCCTCTCAAAGTGCTCTTAGTTACATGAAGAGAAGAGCACACACGGGTCCAAAGCCTCTCTCTAGAGAACTGCATGGACCAGATGTACCAGAAGGGTCCCAAGAGGCAGCCTTTCTCAGCATGAATAAACTAACTTTCTCTCTTTAAAAGCCAGCATCAGCACTTGTCTCCCAGGTTCTCATGTTCATCCAGACTGTGCAGTGCCCCATGATCCTATGTCAAAAGGTTTGGGAAAAGACTAATGGCAAGTACAAATGTACCTTTGGCCAGGAGAAGGGAAGGGAGCCTGGCTTGTACACCCATGGGAATGCCAGGGGCTAGTTAGCACATGTCATAATCAGCATTCAGGGAAAGAATGGGGAGGAACAATGTAGGAATGTGAGGAAAGGGAGCTCTGGTGATGGAGCAGACACAGAAAGTTTTACCCGTCCACATTCTGGGTCTGGAAAGAGAAGATGCAGAAGGGATAACGTGAGGCCAACGCTGTCTAGTTACCTGCTGGATGCGTTGGCTCAGGTGCTGTTGAGGCCATGGGGAGAGGTCAGAAGACTTGGTACAGGTGTATTAGCAGCTCACCTTGTCTTTGGTTGGTGACTTCTGGGACAGAACAAGAAAACAAATGAGTAACAAGAAAGGATTGCCTAGGAAATGATCCCCAGGAGCGCATAAGGGGAATGGGAGTGCCTGGGTCAATTAGCTGGTGCTGCTTGGTGACATGGGGGACTTAATACCAGCAGTGTAAGTGGCTTCTGAGCTTTGGCCAACAGCCTCAGACAGGTCTGGCCTGAAAGTGCCACCAGGCTTGGGCAACAAATTCTGTGTGGTTTTGGATGCCATAGTAGGATTCATGCACAAAGAAGAGCCCTGGCTCCAGTGAAGGCTTTTCTCCTGTGGTAATGTGGTTGCATTACAACCAGGGAGTTTGCAAATGGGAAAAGGTACTAGACTTGTAGGGACCACAAACAGATTATGTATTCCTAAGTGGATGTGCTTGCTGGAGCTGCATGTGTTCATGCAGCAGACGTGTTCCTGGCAGCAATGCTCATGCCACAAAATGTCCTAGCTGCCTCACAGTTAAAACCTCTGCTGCCTGGTGGCGCTTGGTGGCTGCCTGTGATTGGAAGAGGTGGAATCTCAGGCTCTTGGCATCTTACATCATTAGCAAAAAAAGTGGTCTTCTTCCATACAGAGTTTTTATTCTCATCTTAAGCCCATAGAAAAGGGACTGATTCACTTTTCACAGGGAAGAGCTTCTGCCTAAGAGCTCATCTCAATCTCCCCTCTGGCAGGTTAAAATCATTCGCGTTGTCCTGTCCCTACTGGCCCTTGTGCAAAGGCCCTCTCCAGGTTTCTTGTAGGCACTGGTTCAATAGTTAACGTCAAGATTCATTTTCTTAGTCAACAATAAACAGTTTTAGGTCCCTGCTTCCTATTTTTGGAGTTCTGTTTTGGATACTTACCCAGACCAGCAGAGCTGTGAGACAGCCTTGAGCCTCCCTTGGGAGCAGGGAGAGTTACAGCAGAAACGGGATCCATGCCGTGGGCTCTGGAGACCTCAGTTCTCTCATCAGCAGAGAGAAGGGTAGCATGACATGAAGATCTAGAAGATACCCAATACTGGGGCTAAAACCCTTGTTTTGGCGTTTGATTATACAACAAAATGGGGTCTGAATGTGCAGCAACACAAGTGACATATGACGTGCCTTGGAGACAGCAGCTTCACTTGTGGTTTCTGTCTGCAGCAACCAGTAACCAAAGTAGTGTGGGTTTTGGGCTTGCCCCACGGCAGCCAGCTTCTTCACTGCTTCTCACAACTAGTGATTGTTTCTATTCTACCAGTACTTAGAGTATTTAAAAGTAAGAGGCAGAAGTGCTGGATGAGTGCCATTCTCTGATCTCTGTGTAACAGCAGTAATAGTAACTACTGAGAGGGAATAGCACATAAGAGCCCACTTAGGCTATTATGTATAGCTTTTCAGTGCCCATTGCAATGTTCCTTGCAACTAAGCAGCAAACTGCAGTAGATTTTACAGCAAAAATAGATAATGGGAGACAAAGATGAGACTGTAAAAGATGAAGAAATGAGCTGGGAACTTGTTGGCAGGGGTGCTTTCTTTTCTCCTCACATTTTGTCTGCAGCTTATGTTCCAGCACACTGATAAAGACTTAATGGGTTCTTAGGACAGGGGCAGCCTGACTCAAGTATCTCATTTCCATAGGATCCTAGGTGTCCCTGCCCATGGCAGGGGGGTTGGAACTGGGTGATCTTAAGGTCCTTTCCAACCCTAACTATTTTATGATTCTATGACCTTAAGATCATCCAGTTCCAATCCCCTGCCATGGACAGGGACACTTCACACTAGACCATGTCACCTAAGGCTCTGTCCAACCTGGCCTCAATTCTTAGGCTTGTCCTGTACCAGCTCTGTGCTGCTGCTGAAGCACCTAATGATCCCAAGTTCTCACTTGTAGGACAGAGCTGGAGACAGTGGCTGTGGCCAGCACTGCTCTGGTGAGCCTGGGTGTCCAGCCCCAGTGTGACACATCCTCAGATAAGCTGCTGTCTTCCCTAATGCAGTGCTTCCAAAGAACATGTTGCTCCAATGCCCTCTGCACAGGGCTGCAAATCCCCCCGTTGCAAGTCCTTCTTCATGTCCAATCTGCTTTGCTTAGGGATATAAACTCCCCAAGCTGTCACTGAAGACTGACTACACCGAGTTGGATATTTATGCTTTGCTTTTCTTCATTACTCAACGAGTTTTGGCTAAAGAGGCTGTTTTCCCCTGGCTGGTCTGGCTGCCTGCACACAATTACACTTGGCTATTATTAGCAAGAGTGAGCAGGGCTGAGTTTACAACTGTGCAGGAGCGATAAGCTCGAGACGACGGCGCTTCCTCTCCAAGGAGCTGTGTAACTCTGCTCCTCCGCGCCTGGAGCCATCGCCGTGCTCAAGACAGGAGGTGTTTTTGTTCTCTCTACAAGGATGCCCAGGCCGGGTGGTTTCCTTTAACAGATTAGACAGAATATCCCCACAATTTCACCCTCAGCATCCAAGGCATGAAAGTCACAGAAGTCTCATACCCATTTTTATGGCCTTCAGCCCAAATTCCTTAGGACCCCAAACCACGGCCATACTGGCTTCCCTGAACTAATCACATTTCTGTATTCACACTAAATCTGAATTTGCTTTTTCAGTATGAACTTACAGAGAGTGGGATAGATCTGACTCAGTGTTTCTGTACCTAAACCAACACACCCAGAGCTGCTTTAAGCCTCTGCAATACATTTAATCTGAGGGATCACATCCTGCACTGCTCTCACTATGTGAGTCTAAAGGACTAGTCCACGCATTGGTGCAAGCTTTAGATTTAGGAGAGATTAATCCCATAAGTCTCAGTTTTATGACTCTCATGTAGCAACATGTGAGAAGAAAACCTGCACATTGGAGGTGTGAATTGTCACCTTGTGCTGATGAGGCAGCAGCACTGGTGAAGCACAGAGGAAAGCAACAAGAATAACAGGTTTTAAAACTACAGCATAGGAATGAAAGGCTGGAATAGTGCATTTCTTACCCTAAAGAGCTGAAAGGAAGAAGTTTTAGGAGAAAGGAAACATAACTCTCACTTCATGGAAGGTCACTGTAAAGACAGCAATGAACTGTGGGTTATGGCTGCTGATGAGCTCAGGCTCTGCCACTGTAGGTGTGGGAACAGTCCTAGAGCTACCTGAGAGCTGAATGCCCCTGGGACATGACAAGAGAAGCTCACCAGAGACACCCCCAGAAGTCCCCAGACTGAAATCCCACAAACTATTAAAGCTCCTTTGATCTCTTCTTCCAAGTAAGCCTGCAATGCCAGGTTGTGAAGGGTTTAAGACCTGTCAGAGCGTTGCAGCAGACCCTAACTGTGGTTCAAGGCAAGAAAAGCAAAGTACCAGCTGCAGTGTAAGAGCCTGGAATGTTTCCTGTTCTGCTATCTTGCTTTCTGGTGATGCCAACAGAAGTTATGCAAGCCACATGCATAAAGACAATGGGAAAGGATGAGGAATCGATAGAAGCAGTTCTAAGAACACAGACCTACTCCTTGGACAGTTCCCAAAGGGCGAGCTATAATTATCAGATGGTACTCCTAGAATATTATATCTATTTTTTCAGGTGCCAGGCTTCCTGGATAAAGTATCCAGGACCCAACACAACAGGTGACAGAAGGACTCCTGCTTTCAAGGCCACCATTTGAAAGGAGTTGGACACCATAGCAAGCTCAGTGGTTATTACTGGAGTGAGACAGAGAGCCTCATGCTCAGAAAACTCTGATGAACCCCAGCACAAGATGGGGTATATCACTAGTGGAAGCTTCAGCTTTAAATAATAAGTAGAGAATTACTTACCTTGAAGAGCTGAAGTATAAGGTGAGGTTACAAAACAGATCACTCAAGGAGACACTACTATCAGTAGTAATAGAAGAAGCAGCAATTTCATAAGGGTTGGTTGGCATTTTCTTCCTTTCCTTTCTTCAAGCACGGGATTGTTGCCAGTAGCAGATTGCAAGTCATGTCAGAAGCTGTAAACCAACCGCAACTCTCCTTAGGAAGCTCTCGTATGGAGCAACTGATGTTACAAGAGACTTCACTTTCCCCTGAAAGGTCAGATTAAGAAAACGAGGCACATGACATCATTCACCTGCATCCCTTGTGATCCAGCCTTCACTTATGCTGTCTTGGGGGCTTGATAAAACCTACTTACATCCCAGTCAAACTCTGCAGGCATGAAATAGGAATTATCAACAGTTCTCCGATGTAAAAAAATCCATCTTATACATGCAGAGCGTCTCCCCTTGCTCCTCCACAACCATATCTAGCGAAGGATGTGTTAAATCTAGGATGGGAAACTCCCAGCATCATCAAAAGACAATGTCACAGAATACAAATTCCCTGCATACATAAGCACATCATGGTTTCAAGAAGGTTGGTCAGCTTATCTTGAGCTGCCATGAAAAGAAACCCACAGAAGCTATCACAGATAATAACATTTTGTGTAAACAAGAAGGGAGCCAGATCATTCCTGCTATGGAATGGGCAAACCAAGTAGTTCTTACTGTATATCCAACATGCCAAGTGCTGCATCATGGAATCACAGAATAGTTAGGGTTGGAAAGGACCTTAAGATCATCAGGTTCCAACCCCCCTACCATGGGCAGGGACACCTCACACTAAACCATGTCACCCAAGGCTCTGTCCAACCTGGCCTTGAACACCACCAGGGATGGAGCATTCACAACTTCCTTGGGCAACCCATTCCAGTGCCTCACCATCCTTACAGTAAAGAACTTCCTCCTTATATCCAATCTAAACTTCCCCTGTTTCAGTTTGAACCCATCACCCTTTGTCCAATCACTATAGTCCCTAATGAAGAGTCCCTCCCCAGCATCCTTATAGGTCCTCTTCAGATATGTACTGTGGTTGTGCATCCATCCATTCAGATGAGGGCTTGGGGGTAGATTTATTCTGTAGACCTTTTTTTTCAGACCAAGAAAGATCAAATAAGCCAGAGATAGAATCATGGAATGGTTTGGGTTGGAAGAGACCTTAAAGCTCACCCAGTTTCAAATCCCTGCCACGGGCAGGGACCCCTTCCACTGGAGCAGCTTGCTCCAAGCCCCTGTGTCCAACCTGGCCTTGAACACTGCCAGGGATGGGGCAGCCACAGCCATGAGCAGATGAGACAGGAGTTAACTTACTGAAAACTTTATTTACTTCTTCTGACACTGTGTAGTGCCAACATCTAATAAGGTCTTTTGGATGGAAGTTTCTCTTTGAGAATTCACCATAGTAACCTCTTAATTATGGAGACACCATTTATGAGCAGAATTCCCCTCTGAAGTCAGGAAATGACAGCCAGAGCATTTCTTAAAATGAGAAGTGAGAGGAAAGGATCCATGTCACTTCTCAAGCCTTTCTTATTTATCATAAAGAACCACAATGCGTTTGTTAATGTGAAAATAAACAACAGGAGATGCCAGGCAATACAGAAATGCTGACTGAATGAAAGAGTAAAGAAGGGAAACTGCTCACATGCAGCTTGAAATACCAAATGTGGTGAATAATACCTTTTTAAACTTTATATGTATATAGGCATCACTCACATAAAAGTCCTGTGACTTTGCCCATCACTGCAGCTCACCCAGAGACATGCACATCAACATCCAGAGTATATTTAACACAGAGCTTAGGTGTACAACAGCTTCCTACAGGAAACATTAACCTCATCTACTCAAGAGTAACAGACTGTGCACGACTGCTTGGTACCAGCAACACGAAGGGAGCCCTAATACTAGAGAAATCATTGAATCCCAGACTGGTTTGAGTTGGAAGGGACCTTAAAGCTCATCCAGCTCCAACCCCTGCCACGGGCAGGGACATCTTCCACTAGAGCAGCTTGCTCCAAGCCCCTGTGTCCAACCTGGCCTTGAGCACTGCCAGGGATGGGCAGCCACAGCTTCTCTGGGCACCCTGTGCCAGCGCCTCAGCACCCTCACAGGGGAGAGCTTCTGCCTTATCTCCAACCTGAACTTCCCCTGTTTCAGTTTGAACCCATCACCCTATCGCTACAGTCTCTGCTGAAGAAAAACAAGTTGCCCAGAAGGAAGTTACTTCCCCCAAACACTTGCTCTGCTGCAATTGCTCTTAAAGTGGCTTCTTCAGCTTCTGCAAAACTGCCCCTGGGACCCACCCTGACAGTGATGATTGAAGCTGTGTGTGGTAAATAATCATACAAAATAATCATACAAAAATGAAATGGTTCTTTGGTAAATTTACTCTTAAACATTTAGCTCAAGCTGGTTGCAAGAGATCTCTTCCTTTAAAACACTGATAAAGGAAATAGCTGCAAGTGTATGCTGTGACCAGAGACTTCCTGGTGGGTGATGGGGAAGCAAGAACAGGAGTAAATGCCAAGGACGACACGTTGATGTACAACATTGACAAACTGGTACAGCAAACCACATCTCTGATTCAGCAGAACATGTCAACTGCAGACTAGCTAGGAAGGAAATGGGATACCCATCATGACTTCTTTGACAGGTAGATGAAGACGCCCCGAGGCTGGAGCACCTCCCTTGTGAAGACAGGCCAAGAACATTTGGGCTGTTCAGCCTGGAGAAGAGAAGCTGCGTGGAGACCTCAGAGTGTCTGAAGGGGGGTCCAAGGATACTGGAGAGGGGCTCTTCATAAGGGATGTAGGCATAGGAGAAGGGATGATGGATTCAAACTGAAATGGGAGGTTTGGGTTAGGTATGAGAATTTCTTCCCTGTGAGGGTGCTGAGGCGCTGGCACAGGGTGCCCAGAGAAGCTGTGTCTGCCCCATCCCTGGCAGTGTTCAAGGCCAGGTTGGACACAGGGGCTTGGAGCAAGCTGCTCTAGTGGAAGGGGTCCCTGACTGTGGCAGGGGATTGGAACTGGATGAGCTTTAAAGTCCCTCCCAATCCAAACAAGTCTGGGATTCTATGAAATGGGTGGAGTAGTGCAGTACATAATGATGGTGGTTGGCCTACAAGCAGTGCCACAAAACTATGATTTTACCTTGTCTACACCTCTTCATGGAGGGAACATTTTAAGCTTGAGATACAGAACAAGGCCTTTATCGGTTTAGATCAATCATGTAATAATTGACTCTTCCGTTATCCATAAGTTACCTGGAAGCTGGAAAGGTGCTGCACCTCCTTCTGCAGGTGAGTCAAGCAGAAATGGCCTCGAAAGCCAGCTCGCTGCCCTGCCAGGTTGCCACCACAGATGTTCAGCCCTGAGAAACTGTCGTGGTTTAACCCACAGCCAGACAGCTTGTTACCCACTCCCCCCCTTCTTGCCCTCCCCCTACTCCTGGGGGAACGGAGAGGAGAATCAAAAAGAAATGCAACTCCCACGGGTTGAGATAAGAAGAGTTTAGTAACTAAGGTATAACACAAATCACTACTGCTACCACCAATAATAGTAATGATAAAGGAAATAACAAGGGAAGAGAATACAACACCCCATCACCAGGTGATCGATAACTTGCCCCCCCCAGCCCGATCAAGCACCGACCCATACCTCCTCCAACCCTGCCGTCCACCCAGCCCTTCCGGCTAACTCCCAGTTACATCCTGGGCATGACGTGCTGTGGTATGGAATACCTCTTTGGTCAGTTTGGGTCAGGTGTCCTGTCTCTGCTTCCTCCGGGCTCCCCTCCTCCCTGGCAGAGCATGAGGCCCACAAAGTCCTTGGCCAAACCAAAACATCATTGTTTTTCAGCTCTGTTCCCAGCTGAAAGTCAAAACACAGCCCTGCACCAGCTACCAAGAAAGAGAAAAATGACTGCCACTGCTAAACCCAGGACAGAAACCAACTGAAATCTTGATGTGATACTTCAGTGCACATCAAAGTGCTGCTTGATGTGGAGAGCAGTCCTGCATACTCACAGTCCCTCAGGTATCCAAGAGAACTGGGACACCTCTCCTTATAGCAGCTCTAGCCTCTTGCAGATTCTCTTTTCCCACCTATTCCTCCAATATTCCAACCCTTTTGTAATCCTTCCTATCTCTCCACAGCCCACATCAGTTCTGATTTGGAGAAAACTCCAGGAACAAACTTGCCAACAAAGTTTTCAAGCTGACAAGCAGCTATTCTTTATGGCGGTGCCGGGAGACACAGGGGATAACTTCTCCTAACGTGTGTCCCGGTACTGCTATACAAGCCATCCTTATATAGTCCCTGGGTATACATACATATTCATGAGGCTACATATGGATTACATCATTTTCCAGAGAGTTCCCCGCATGCGTACAGAATTGTGGTGGCGGTCTCTGAGGGTCGGTTACTTCTTCCAACAATCATCATCACTTCTGGCAGCCTTTGAAGCACGCGCAGTAGATGCTCATACCAGTTTAATTGGTTCGTTAGCACCAGAGACCTAATAATCCTCCCATCCTCCTACTTATCAGTTAGTTTAACTGTAGCTCATCCTGGACACCTGCAGTTCCCAGATACCCCTTATCCCTGTGTCCTGTTCTTCTAGGCTGTTTTTTTCTTAAAGCTATGTCAACTATAACGATTTATCTTGTGAGAATTCTCAGTATGTTCTCTAGCTGCACTCTCTTTATATATTTTTCTCTATGTATCCTGCACCTCAGTAATTTTCCATTGCTACTGTTACAAAGCCATCAAACTTAACATTACTTAAAGCTACTTCTAAAGATTTCTATATCCCATCTTGTAATCTTGTGCCCCCCCCCCCCGTCCCAGTTCAGGACACATCCTCACCCTTCCCAGTCATTCCACTGCATCCTTCCAATTGGTATAAGACTCTGGGAGGGATGTACAACCTCACTTGACATGCTGATTCACAACTGACCAAAGGCTGTGTTAAACACATGGAACAAATGGATCGTAACAATTCCCAACTGCAACACGAAGCTTGCGGTCTCCAACCAGGGCTTTTGGGCTAAGACCCATTGATCTAAGGGTGTGGAAGTTCATCATTACCTCTGACTGTGTGCAACAGCATCATTGCCAACGTCTAAGCTAGCTCTCCAGATTTTAACTACAGCGAAAGGAGAGCTGGTGGTAATTTACTAGAGCTTCAGGTACAGCTTATCTGACCAAATGTAGCCAGAATGAGGTGAACCACAGAGATGGCATCTCCTGGCTCTTTGCTGACCCAGAGATGGAGTGTCAGGTGACTAACATAAAATGATGTTCTAGAAATCATACTTAACACTGTCAGTCTGTGGTATCCGCTTTCTGAGCTCAGTTTTCCACTAACACTGTCAGGAAGTGTATCCCATCCATAAAAGAGCAACATGAGTTTGGGTAAAGCAAACCTCACTACAAACCCTTCAGACTACAGAGAGCAAGTTTTATTCCACACAGAACCAGAGGGTGAAGTGCCACAGATGAAAATTCACCAGCACAGCGTCACTCACCATTTGTCACTCTAGGCTGGAGCTGTAATAAGAGTGTCTTTGTATGGACACAACAGGCCAAATATGAGCTAATCACTAGAGTCTAATCCACAAAAATGTCTCTTCTTCCCAGGGGAGCCTGGTTTTCTACAAGTCCTTCACCTTCCAGCCAGTTACTTTGTTTTCTTCTTCTTTTTGGGGGAGCCAGGCCAGGGAAAGCCCCGTAACTCCAGGCAGGCAGCAGCATTGTGGCAGACGTAGTAAGCGTTGAGCATGGCATCTCGGCTGAGGATATCCACTTCCTTCACCACCTTCTGCTTTTTCTTACTGGTGCCTTTACCTTTGCCACGCTTGGGTTTGCTGCGTTTACCTGCCTGCAGAGAGAAAATGAGCACAGAAAGACTCCATTAATCCACATCTTTATTGTCTCACTTCTCAACAGAGGATCCCAACCTATCCTGGAACAACTGTTCCCATTGCATGGGAGTCCTGACTCACAGTAATAGCTCTGAGCCCGTCACCACAGACTCCTGTATTTTGTGCAATTTTATACACAGACTCACAAGTATTAATACATTTTCACCAAATCCATATTTGCTCTATAGGCTGTAATAATGTTTAAAGGCATCAGACAGAGCTAATAAGTATTGCCTTGTGCTTCTCTCTGGCTAAAAAAAGCCTTTTGCACAATGAAAATCATCCATTCTTCCCAATAGCTTTTGTAATTAATGCATTAAGATACGATCCTGATGCAAACTAAGCCTATATTCATCCATTACTACGTGTCTACTTGTGGCTCTGGATCATAAACCAGAAAAGCAGGTCTCCTTTCCACAGCTGTGGCCTTTCCAAGGCTCTGTGATACAGTTGCTCTGTGCCATTAGCAGTACCACAAATAGTACTCCGCCACTCTATGTAGGAAGGTGTTGCCAAGACTCACCAAAGCCCTAAAGCAGGGCAAAAGAATGCTCCTGTTAACTCCAGGTGATTAGTGCTGGTGCCTGAAAGTCCAGCCTCTTGCTTCCAGTAGGGAATTGCCAGAGCCCAATTCACTCCCTGGATTGTTCTCTCATCCACACTGGACACTCCTCACAACAAGCCCAGAGTGTGTCCATGTGGAAGATGCCGCTGCAGGTACTGAGCAACAGAAAGCAGGGTGAGGGACCCAAAGGGATCTCCCACTGCTGCTGTGATGGCGATGGCAATGGCAACACGGAGCCAGGAGGTGGGCAGCATCCCAGGAATGTTGAGGATGGAGCCAGAGCCCAGAGAAAAGGCTGAACAGGAGTATTTACACACTGTAAGTGACTGGAAGTATTTGATCTCTGGTCCAATGTCAAGAGCACTTTCAATACACACCAAGTCACTCAATGCATCTGCCCAGCTACTGTTGTTACTTGCCTTGTTTGCACACTGTAATTAAACAGATCCAAGCACTTCATTAGGAAGAATTAGCACAGGCACAGCCAGAAAGGCCACAGGTAACTACCAGCTGGGCATGAACTAGGAGAAAGCCATATACATGGCATTTTTCATGGCATCAGTTTTAACAAGTCCCTTACAGCTCAGGAGAGTGCAAAAAGAGACAAACATCTGTGCTATGAAAACAGTCAGGGTACAACCTTCAGAGTCAGCCAGGAACAGAATGCGAAGACACATGTACAGATAAAGAAACAAAGTCAAGATTTCCATATAAAACACATAGAAGCACTATCCACAGGAGGGAAAATGAAGAAAGAAACTAGAGTGTGTGCTGCAGCAGAGGTCAGATTGTTCCCCAAACCTGCAGCCCTCCAGCCTGCAAACCACCTGAACCCAGACATGCACTGGCGAAGGTGACAAGCCTTTTTTGCAGACCTCAACTGGGTAGAATGTGTTGAATACTCCATGTGCTGGAATGTGCACACTTCATAGAGTAGATGCTTATGTCAGATGGTCCAGCCAGTCACCTGAATCCTGTTCATGTGCTTCCAGCAGGGCCTCTGGTGGATTCTGTGAGCACAGGGCTGCTCCTGCTCACAATCTGGTTGCAGCTCATCTTTCCAAAGAATGAAGGTGCTTACAAGTAAGGACAAACTGTCCAAGTCTGCAGTGAGGAGCAGGGAATGCCTTTTGCCTACAGCACCCTCACTACTCCTGCTGCCCCTCTGCAGCAGGTACCTCCAACTTCCAGGCTTGAAATGGTCTCCAGCACTGCCAGCAACTCCCTTGTCTTCCCTTTGCCATCTCCCATGGGATGTGGCATCTGTAAGCTGTAATCTGCAGTCAGCTCACACATGGGAGCAACAACCTAAGAGCAGGGGTTCAAGCAATACAGGAAGCCAACAAGCTACAGCATCACACAGCCTGTCAGAAATAACACCTTGCGGGTGTTCATGCACCTTCAGAGGTGCCAGAGCCAAATTGGTGCTACAGCTCTTTAAGGAATTCCAATTCCATAAGGAATCCCAGTATTCCTTAAGGATTTATCAGGCAGCCAGAGGGTGTGTGATGCTGAACAGAGTGTGGTTCCTTTTCAGTGTATAGAGATGGTAGTCATACATACAAGACTTCTCACCCTGATCTCTTATGAGTTTTAAACTATAGACCAGTGTGACATCTGAACACTCTTCAAATGTACTGGGAAAGCCATGTGTGTGCAGCACCTTCATTCCCATACAAACATTAGGATTTGAGGTTTTACGGGATTTGTGTTACATTTTACAGCCTGTAACCAAGAGCAACAAAAGCTGCTCATTCAGTGCATATTTGCACACAAAAGTGAATCTGGGCAGGTCAGTTTATGCACTGCAGCCCTGGGAAGGAACCTTTTGGATGTTAATTTCCATTTCCTTAAAAAGCAGTATCAATAGTCTTGAGAAGAATCAAACCTGCATTACCATGGCTAAGTCTTTACTGAGTGGTGGGACTCCACATCAAGCTCTGAAGATGGACCCTGCAACACATAATCATGCAGCAGGTTACATCTTGTACAAAGCACTGGTGTCATACCTCTTAAACTTGAAAGAGGGGAAATTAAAACTACTTAAAGCTAGTCGTTACAACAGCAGGTCAAGGTGAGCCACACCATATCAGCTGTGAAACCATAGCATCAGGGAATGGTTTGGGTTGAAGGGAACTTAACTTAAAGCTCATCCAGCTCCAATCCCCTGCCACGGGCAGGGACACCTTCCACTAGAGCAGCTTGCTCCAAGCCCCTGTGTCCAACCTGGCCTTGAACACTGCCAGGGATGGGGCAGCCACAGCTTCTCTGGGCACACTGTGCCAGTGCCTCAGCACCCTCACAGGGAAGAGCTTCTGCCTAAGAGCTCAGCTCAGTCTCCCCTCGGGCAGGTTCAAGCCATTCCCCTTGGCCTGTCCCTACAGGCCCTTGTCCCAAGCCCCTCTCCAGCTTTCCTGCAGCCCCTTTAGGCACTGGAGCTGCTCTAAGGTCTCCCCTTCAGGAGCCTTCTCTTCTCCAGGCTGCCCTAGCCCAGCTCTCTCAGCCTGGCTCCAGAGCAGAGCTGCTCCAGCCCTCTTAACTTTCAGATTCCAGAACCCTGGAGCTTTCCAAGGAAACTGTTGAGATTTCCCTTAACAAAACAAGACACCACAAAAAGCACACCCTGAACCTCAACCCGGTGTCAGGACCTGCCAAAGCCCCACTCTCAGGGCTGCTCCAGGCCCACCTCACCCACCGGCCCCATCCCTGCGGGACACCCCGTGTACCACAGGCAGGACCTTCCCTCCCTTCCACAGCACCCACCGCCGCATCCTCCCCTTTGAGTGGGAAAGCTTCCCCCACGTCCAAATACAACGAATCATCCCTTCCCCTCTCCCCCCTCAGGGCTGCGGCCATTGCGGCCTCACCCTCCTTTACCTCCCGCGTCGCGTTGCCATGGCAGCCACATCCGGGTTCTCACGCAGGCGCAGCGGGAAGCCCGTAAAGGGGCGGGGCTTGCCCCTGACGGACGTCCCCTCTTCCAATCAGCTGCAGGATTGAGCGGAGGGGGCGGTGCTCGCTGTGACTTGGGGGGAAAAGCCTTTCCGGGTTAGACGGGAGCAGAGCCGTGGCCCGGCCGGGTGGGATCAGAGCCGAAAGGGGGTCCCCGGGAGGGCTCCTTGTGGGACCTGACCCAGGGCCCTTTGGAATCATGGAACGGTTTGGTTTGGAGGGGACCTTAAAGTTCCTCCAGGGACACCTTCCACCTGAGCAGCTTGCTCCAAGCCCCTGCGTCCAACCTGGCCTTGAACACCGCCAGGGATGGGGCATAGACCACATTGACATTTCAAACCCAGCTTGTGCTTCCTTTGAGAGCCGCGGTTCTGTACAACAAGCACTGAAAACAACGCGTGGTAGGGCTGGGGTGTTTTCAAATAAGCCCCGTGCAGCGGTTACAGTTCATCTCTATGGTTAGTGCTGGTGGTAGAGGGGTGGGAGGGAGGAAGCAGCCAAAAGGTTCATCCCATTGCCCCTTGTCTTGTTTCAGACACAACCAATGTATTAATGCTTATAAATACCCCTTTAATGGAAGCAAACTTTGGAGAAGGATAGGATATGGGTGTCCTGTCTGCATTCTTCTGTGTCATAGTGAAGAAGCTCTTCCCTGTGAGGGTGCTGAGGCGCTGGCACAGGGTGCCCAGAGAAGCTGTGGCTGCCCCATCCCTGGCAGTGCTCAAGGCCATTGTAAATCTGATCCCCCAAAACACCCAACCATCTTTCCCACTCTCCCTGGCAGCCACAGGGACTGGTTTACTACAAATACTGATTTACATCTAACAGAATTACAACCATTAACAAGGATTCAGCCGTTGCTTTGAACACTGAAGTGATGCAGTGGTGAGAACACATGGACCCTAAAGGAGCTTTCTTAATACTGATGATAAAAGTGTGGATGTAGTTGGCTATGAATGTACAGAAGGGGAATGGAACAACTCTGAAGTGGTGCAAATGTTTGCAGGGGCAGTATTTCAGCATGAAAATATAATTGTATGTAGAGAATAAGTGGGGTCAGTGACTGGGTAAAATGCATTTTAATGAAGAATGAATGGTCAGAAAACCCATAAATGAGAATGAATGAAGAGGTGAGACCAACAAAGAAAACAAGAGCCTCATAAAACATGGAGAGAAATAAAGGTATCAGTGAAAGAAAAAAGGAAACCATTGAAGGAAAATAATTATCACTACATATAGACTAGGTATCAGAAGAAGGCTAAATGGCTGGGATGAGCAACAGCAAAATGTACCACTTGATGTTGCGAGGAGCTCGGGAATAAAGCAAAGAGTAAAGGCATTCCTTGGGAAAATACAGTGTGGGGGTTGGAATGTATCGAAACTGTCAGAGACCATAGGAAGGAAGAACCACAGCAGGCAATTAAGTGTGACCTGTCCCTGACTGGCACTTGGAAGATGTTGGAACTGGCAAGGAACAAGGACGTCGGAACTGGGAGGATGTCGGTAAGAAAATCGGATAGACCTTTCAGCTGATGTAACCGCAAGGCAAACACAGATGTGTTTGGCTAATTGCTTGGAAGCATATAAATACCGTGTAATCTTTGCTATAAATGATCCAGCTTGCACTCTGTCTCTGGGTCCATGCCTCCATCCTCACAATACAGGTCTAATTATTATCTCCTACCAGAAGGGAATGTTGAGCACAGGTTGGATGGAGAAATGAGACCAGGAATATTGGGAATAATACAGTCGGATCATCACCCAACACTGAAGGTGAGTGTGGGTGTTGGTGGGGAGCAGGGTGCTGCTGAGGAGGGTGCTCTGGAACAGAGTGGAAACCATCGGACTTATTTGCCTTGAGCAGAAATGGATTGTGTTCATGGAAACACCATTTTATGTGTCCAAACTCATGTGTCTGAGTGCCTCACCAGCTCAGTGCCGTTACCACCAATACCATGCAGACCTCTCAATCCAGTGGAATATCGGCTGCAGTCGGGACAACTGCCATGTTGTCAGGAGCAAGCGATAAGACGGTAGGAAACACATCCCAGAGGCTTTTGCTTATCATGGATATTTTGGTTTCTGTGGAAGATACCAGCCCTTTCTCTCCTGTTCTCTGCTGCTGTGAGTGGGATCCAGCAGAATGTGCTATATCCAGAGGGAATTGCATTCCAAGCAGTGAGGATCTGAACCTTGCTAAGGCTGGTGAGCACATCAGCTCTCTTCTACACAGAGTAAAGTTGAAGGAAAACAAGGGGGAGTTACCCTGTCCGCAGGCCATTGTCAGGGCCATGGGGAGGAGGAATTATAAAGAGGATTTTGCCATTTGAAAGGGCCTTGATCTCTGGCTGTCCAAGGCACGTCTGTGGTTTGGGTCTTGCTTTTCAGAGGCCAAGTTTACCACAGCAGCTCCTGTTCTTCCTTTCATCTCCCTTCCCTGTCTCTACAAGGCCACAGGCAATGGATTCAGCTATTTGAGATTAAAATAGCCCTCCCAGAAGGACATTCAGTGCCGAGGGAAACCTCCAAGGAATGCTGGTACCTGATCAGAAGGAACCAAAAAAGACAGCGAAAGAAGCAAAAGACAAAGAGAGAATAGGGGAAGCCTTGGTAGTGTAGCTCAGAAAGAAGGTCTGCAGGTTTTCTAACCCCTTTGAACGAGTCTTGGGATGGATAAGGAGCACTGAAATAAAGAATAGCTCATTTCTGTTGTGTTCAGGGAAAAACTGTTTTGCGTGATTTTCATGAACAAGCCACATTGGCATAGAAGGAACAATCCTGATTATAGTCATTATCTCCAGTCAGCAAAAACAACTGGCAAGGGACCGCATTATAGCGACTATGGAGGCTGAAAAGAAGCAACAACAGTGACAAGTGTGTCTCAAATATTAGATCAGTCACGGTTGTATTCTGTAAGGATGCTTGGACCCGGCTACAAAACCAGCCACTGCTTACAGACACAGGGCTTTTGATGAAGAATGAAGGGGGTTTCTCCAAGCTATGAGCATAATAAACCTGGCCTCATAACATCACTGCTGTAGTTACAACGGGGTCAATAATGAGTGCTTTAGCTCTGGCAGTTGTCAGGGCCAGGACATCTCAGTATCAATATGGCAATATTCACATAAGAGAAAGGAGGGATGTTTGGTTATGCTCATCCTTTGCTCAGATTTGTATGAAAGCTTTCTTTTCCTCCTTTCTTCCTTTCTATCTTCCTTCCTTTCCTTTCTTTCTCTTTCCCCTTGAAGTTTGATGTTGCATATAGAGGATGAAGAACATATTAGTGTGATAGCATGTGCCTTTTATCCCTGGAAAACCGGAGCATTCCTGGAATCAACAGGCGTGTTTGGGTAAGATAACACACGTTCCTTCAGCTGCACAGAAACCTTGTTCTGAAGCTTTCTTGCTATGCAGCACAATGATTATTCCCGAATTGCTGACTCCTGCTCCTTTTGTGATTATTCTGTGAAGAAGAAAATCCTCACCATGAAGCAAAGAAGCTTTACACTGTGACCTGCTGCAGCTTGAGAAGTGAAGGCGTAGAACCATGGAGTGCTTTGGGTTGGAAGGGATCTTAAAGCTTCTTCCTTATCACCAACCGGAACTTCCCGTGTTTCAGTTTGAGCCCATCACCCCTTGTCCCATTGTTTATAATGAAGACAGGAGGATGGAGCCTTCTGGCACTGCCAGAGACGCAGCATCTGAGACTGCCCACTACCAGTAAGGGAGTTTCCCACTGGGGCCTCAGTTAATGCACTGCTCACACACCTCGAGGGGAAGTATTTGAGTCCCCCACATCTGTCTGGCAGTGGGACGAGCTCCTTATGAGAGAAGCTCCCTCTGTTCCTGCTCTACTGGCACTGCAACCCCTCAGCTGCTCCACAGAGCACTGGGCTGCCCCACATGGGGCCAGCAGGGTTTATCAGCAAGAACCAAACCCCACGGCTTCTGGATGAAACCCTCACCCAATGTGGCACATCTCACCAGTGCAGACTTGGTGGCAAACAGGTGATGGGACACAAACAGTTTAGGTAAGAGGTGTGCATTTCCTTAGTTACTTTTGCATACAGAGGTTCACACTTTGTATAGAGCTGTATCTAGGAAGCATAACTTGTAGTGGGGGTGGAAATAAGTAGCATTCAGAGGTGACACTTTATACCATCCTCTACCATATACACATTCAGGTATGATTTGTATTTCAAGCTTTACCGCAGTAAAAGCAGCAGGCAATGGAAAGCCACGGAAACCTGTGAAGCACAGGTTCAATATGAAATATAGATACAAGTGCTGGTTATCCTTCTCTGCTTTAAACATAGGGGGAAAAAAGGTTTGAGCCAATTACCAAGGGGTTTCCTAAGTTTCTGAGTCTTTCATCATTCATTCATTCATCATTCGTTCATTCATCATTCATTCATTCATCATTCATTCATTCCCTTTTCCTCTTGAAGAAACACCTCCATGACCTCTGTTTATTAAGATTAACAGGATTTGGATATACTGATGGTACTTCCTTTACATTCACTTGGTTGGTGGGCACTTAGGTTGTTTTCTATGTCACCCTAAACCAGAGGATAGCAGAGGAGTCACAAAGCAAGGGGGGTGATGTGGTTAACCAGAAAAAGACACTCCAGACTCTTGCAGTGTGGGGTCACCATGTGAAGGAAGGAAAGAAAGGAAGGAAAAAATGAACCAACATTCCTCCTATGAAGGATGGTGAGGCACTGGCATGGGTTGCCCAGGGAGGTTGTGAATGCTCCATCCCTGGTGTTGCTCAAGGCCATGGGTGCCATGGTTTAGTGTGAGGTGTCCCTGCACATGACAAGGGGTTGGAACTGGATGATGTTAAGGTCCTTTCCAACCCTAACTGTTCTATGATTCTATGATACTATAAGGAAACAAGGAACCAACAGTGCTGGAGGGGTGTCCCCTGTGCCAGGATGCACGAGAGCACACAGGGATACTGCTACCTTCCCAGGACCCTGGTCTAAAGGGGAAATCATGCATTTGGTAGGGAAATAGGAGACAAAAATAGCACAGAGACAATCCCAAACATTCCAGCCCTTCCTGAGCTCTGGACCCCACAACATGCTGAAAATCACAGTAGTTATACTGTGCTTCTACCACTTCATTACTTCACAGACCCTTCGGGTGGCTGCCATCCTTACCTGGGGTTTGCCAACTTACTTCTCTGTCTTCAGTCTTGACTTCATTTACTCCCAGTGGGCTCTGGGGAGCAGAGGGCAATGCTGGGTGCTGTATGTTAGGGAGCTGAAGTCGATACTGAAATGACCCATCCGGAGCTGCAGAGCTCACCCAGCTCTGGGATCCCCTAAGGGCAGCACCATGCTTCCATTATGGATTATATGTGTGTCTGGTTTCCATATGGGCTTTATTTAGTTTGAAATAACATTTTCCTTTTTAACAAGCACAAGCACTGTGTGAAACACCCACAGCCCATAAACCTGCTCTTCTACAGCTACGTCACAACACAACATCCAGAGTGTGGCAGACAGATGCCCCTCACAGCAGAGGCAGGAGCAGGGGTGAGAGCCGCGTTTATGGGTTGGTTTGTGAGGGATGGGTTTGTCCTTTAGAAACACCAAAAGCAGCAAAGGAAGCACTGAAATTAAGGCACAGGGAGAGAAAACTGAAGTAAATGTGTGTGCTTGAGAAGTTGCTCTGATTGTGAGCAAAAGCACATTTAAAGAGGGAATGGACTTACTAATGCTAAAAACAAAAGCGTCCTCAGTTTAATTCCACAGCAATAAGCACAAATCCTGTCCTAACAAATACTGATGGGCTCATCCCTTGTGTGCTCAATATAGTGATAACCGTAGCCAAAGTGTTTGCCTGCACTGTATTACCACACACGCCTTTGACAAAAGCCAGACTCCTGGTTTCATGGCTGGGGAGGGATGTTTGATCCAGGATTCCCTGTTCTGGACTGATATAAGATTTTGTAGAGAAAGATAGAGTTTTCATAAGGACAAACTACAAAGCCAAACCTCCCATTTCAGTGTGGCCAAGGAGAAGGGAACGTCACCCTGCTCGGTACCAAGGGCTGAGATTCATTCAGCAGGTCAGTCCGTAAGCAATTACCCTTCCAAAACCCTGGAAACCTAATGATCCTTCCAAAACAACCAGGTGGAAAGAAATGTGGCAAGCAACCTCTATCCTAACACTGCCCAACTTCCTGATCCTTTCACTCCAATACAAATGGCAAGTGAATGGAATGGTGGAGGGAAGCGGAGCAGTGGAAAGGTGATGGACTGCTATGAATGATGCATAGACTGTCAGTTGTGGAAGCACAGCTCTGTACACTGGGTTGTGTAATCCCAGCAGCAGCAGCGATGCCAGACTGGGGATGCAAAGCAATGTCATCTCCTTTGGCCATGTCAGCCTGTGGCCTCTGATTGAGCCTTGCAGACAGCACCATGGCTTATTTTCAGCTTCAGTAGGGAGGCAGAGCAGGTTGCTTATGTTTTGGGTGTCTGAAGCACGTTAGCAGACAGCCACGAGTGAATGAACCAAACCAAACTATGCACAGCCAGGGGCATTCAGGAGAGATGAGAACCTTCCACAGCTGAGATGCTCTTAAACCCAACTTACATGCACGAACCAGGCAGAGGCAGACCTGGACTCTGAGCTCTCATACACTGGCATCAATCTGCACTAAAGACCAGAGAAGCTCACTCAACACTGCCACTAGTGTAACCCTGAAACCTGCTCCATGGCCTCTGGGTGGTCTCTGGTCTCCAAGCAGTCACAATGAAGGGGTGACCTCCAAAGAGATGGGAATTGCACACTCTGGAGTAGACACAACGAGGCTTGGTCTCTTTGGAACCACTCTTCTGTTTGACCATCAAGAACGCCCAGGTCCAGAACACTCTTCCCTTCTTCCACAGGCTGTAGCAGCCTGAGTCCTTCCCAAGGTGGGTCTGGGGCAGATGGAGGTGTTGCTCTCACTGATAGTGCAGCAGCTCCTCCCAGCGAATGGGCTGGGAAAACACCTCCCGCTCCAGCCACAGTTCATAGGAGTACTGGAAGTCCCTGGGGAGCTCCAGCCTCTGTCCCAGCACGCTCTGCAGGCAGTTGTCCACCGGCGCAAACTCCGAGTCCTGAGGCTTGTCGTACCTCCGGCTGTTGAAGGCTTCAATGTTGGCTCTCAGGGTGCATTCTTCCGCCTGGAAATCCCATGGTCTTGCATCAATATCTGCCTCGAAGGGGAAACAAGACCAAAGGGTTGTGGAAAAAACAACTCTGGTCAGGTTAGAGCAAAAGTAGTGATAGGACAAGGGGTGATGGGTTCAGACTGAAACAGGGGAGGTTCAGGTTGGAGATAAGGCAGAAGTTCTTCCCTGTGAGGGTGCTGAGGCGCTGGCACAGGGTGCCCAGAGAAGTGGCAAATACCCCATCCCTGGCAGTGTTCAAGGCCAGGTTGGACAGAGCTTTGGACATGGACTAGTGTGAGGCATCCCTGCCCATGCCAGGGCCTTGGAACTGGATGATGTTAAGGTCCTTTCCAACCCAAACCATTCTGTGAGCCTGTGATTCTACCAAAAGAAAGGTTGAAGATTTTACAGCAACCACATGAATTGACCAGAGCATTAGCCAGTTATTCCTAATTATTATTCCTAATCATTCCCATCATGTATACATTATAATTTAAGGTATTTAAATACAATATGTTTAAAATCATCTGTAAATTAAGCAGTCGGAAAGCTTCCTATAGAAATGCAATGATTCCTGCTCTGCTTTAAACACTCTCCATCATTACCAACCTCCTGCTTTTTGCAGGAAAGGCCCCAGCACTATTCCTGAAAATCTCCATAAATATCTGAAGCAGAGACTGGGATTTAATGCTAAAACCTGGTGAGCTCATCATGAGCTACTGACAACACATTTTGCTTAGATTTGGGCAACTAGAACTATGCATGATGCTGAAAAGCTGATAACTGCCTGCAGTAGCCACGATGCCTTAAACCTATAACATTAAGTACATGTACAATGTGGCAACAACATTAGTATTTCCAAAGCTGGCCTTTCTGAGCTCTAAATCTATATGGAACAGTCCTTTGCTCCGTAAAGGCTCAGTACATTCATTGGTAAAGCTCAGCCATGCTCGATAGAGGGGAAGGTCCGAGCTGAATCCAGATACAAATAAATACAGCAGGAAAACCCCTTCCAGCTCATGCCTCTGAGAGCCTGGCAGTGTCCAGCTCAGGAGGCAGTCTCCATGCATTGAGCTGTTCCATTCAGTGCTGCATTACATTGGGGATCAACTCCTTTAGGTGAAGAGGGACACACGGAGCACTTTATGCTTTGCATCTGCCTTAACATCGCAGTATTCCCAGTATCGCCACGTCAGTTCTGTTCAGGCAGACCCTTGCTCCAGGGCAGCTGACGTGGGTGAGTCTTCTCCTGCTGCTTTGGCACATGCAGAGCTCAAGCTATTTAAGTCACAGAGGACAGGTGGGATCCCCTAGCTGTATCCTGTTAGTGGCAAAAAGAAGCCCTTCTGCTGTGCTGTGTCACCAGCATGTGAGAAAGGCAGGACAGAAATCCCAGTAGAAGGACAGAAGGAAGTCCCCAGACTGGTTTGTGCTGGGAGGGACCTTAAAGCTCATCTCAGTCTCCCCTCTGGCAGGTTCAAGCCATTCCCCTTGGCCTGTCCCTACAGGCCCTGGTGCAGAGTTCTTCTCTGGAATCTCCAGAGTCAGTCCCTTCATATGGGGAACTCCACCATCCTGAAAGTGAAATTAAAGATATCAAGTCTAATGTCTAACTCTATTAATCAGTGGTATCATTGGTACCAAAAGCACAGAGGGCTTCAAACACTGATTTCTATCTTTTACAGTTGAGCACCCTAACATAGTGCTTTTCTCTCTTGTAAAGAAGATATGAGGCTTTTAATTCTGCTTTCTTCTGAAGCAGGAATGCTGCCCAAGTTTTCTAGTTAATCCTTATTAAGTAGGAGATACAGAGCAGAAATGTAGGTCTGTCTTATTGAGGTACAAAGATATTTTAATACTTTCTATTCCTGTCTTACAAAATCATAGAACAGTTTGGGTTGGAAAGGACCTTGAGATCACCCAGTTCCAACCCCCCTGCCATGGGCAGGGACACCTCGCTCTAAACCATATCACCCAAGGCCTCATCCAACCTGGCCTTGAACACTGCCAGGGATGGAGCATTCACAACCTCCCTGGGCAACCCATTCCAGTGCCTCACCACCCTAACAGGAAAGAATTTCCTCCTTATATCCAATCTAAACTTCCCCTGTTTCAGTTTTAACCCATCACCCCTTGTCCTATCACTACAGTCCCTAATGAAGAGTTCATCCCCAGCATCCTTGTAGCCCCTTTCAGATACTGGAAGGCTGCTATGAGGTCTCTGCACAGCCTTCTCTTCCTAAATTTGGGTCTATTGTTGCAGCAGTGGGTGTACCTACATGGGGAATACAGGTACGTGGTCTGATGCATCCCATGGATTAATACATGAGGAACATCAGAAACTGCATCGAGCCCCACTGCTTTAGACTAGGTAAGAGCTGTTTAAACAGACCAGCACATCTAGGCTGAGCTCAAGGATTCTGAGTACCCACAGTGCTGGGACACAAACTCTGTTGTTTCTCAGGTGTGATCTGCAGGGCCATCAGTCAGATTATCACCCCATGGCCATCATAAGCACACACACGTGGTGGGAATACCAACGTCATTTAGCATCCTGATGGCCAAAGTGAGTTGGGAATGCAAAAAGCACAGGCCTGGCCTTGGTAGAAACTCATCTTGGAGACCCAAACTGACTGTGTCCATCCTGATCCAATCATTCCCACCTTTCATCATGCCAGCAATTTGTTCCTTCCTGATGGTGCTGAAAGGTGCCTTAAAGCTTCAGAAATCAATCCCCAACATTGACCCAAACACGTTTATGGGATCCAAACCACACCAAAGCCCCTGTGATCCAACTGCAGCTCCACATGCAGGGGGGATGCTCCCCAGCGCTACTCACCGTTGCCGTAAGCCCAGTCATCGTTCATGCGGTGCCGCACCTTCTGGTAGATGGCTGACATGGTTTTCATGTTGCTCTTCCTCCACTGGCGGCCCAGGTATTTGGTCTGGATTTTCAACAGCTTGAGGACATAGAGCTGCATCATGGCCTGCTTCACCTTCAGAGCTCGCTTCAGTATCGGGGCTGACTTAAAGACTACCAGCATCTGTCAACACATCAGCACGGATTGATGCAGTGTGGTCAAGGAAGCCATGGGAGCACTGCCTGGGAGGCTTTGGGCATGAACACCTGGGACACAAATGGTCCAGAGCCCTAGCAGGAGAGGGTTGGAGCAGCTCTGCTCTGGAGCCAGGCTGAGAGAGCTGGGCTGGGGCAGCCTGGAGAAGAGAAGGCTCCTGAAGGGGAGACCTTAGAGCAGCTCCAGTGCCTAAAGGGGCTGCAGGAAAGCTGGAGAGGGGCTTGGGACAAGGGCCTGTAGGGACAGGCCAAGGGGAATGGCTTGAACCTGCCCAAGGGGAGACTGAGCTGAGCTCTTAGGCAGAAGCTCTTCCCTGTGAGGGTGCTGAGGCGCTGGCACAGGGTGCCCAGAGAAGCTGTGGCTGCCCCATCCCTGGCAGTGTTCAAGGCCAGGTTGGACACAGGGGCTTGGAGCAAGCTGCTCCAGTGGAAGGGGTCCCTACTCGTGGCAGGGGTTGGGACTGGAGGAGCTTTAAGGTCCCTTCCAACACAAACCACCCTGGGATTCTATAAACATAACCACCATTTGCTGCCTGCAGCTTACAGGCCATAGAAACCAGTGTTGTCTGCAGACCAAAACCTACTTCTGCATTTACAGCTCAATCTGCGACAGAAAACTGAGCACATGATGAAGCAGCCGAAGCTCCAGCAGTGCCAGAACAAGCTCTCAGCAGGGAGGCTGGGCTGAAGCCCACAGCACAGAGCCAGGACACGCGTGAGGTTCAACACTGGCAGCACAGAGCAGGGCTCAGGAAGGTTGGACATCCCCTCACCATCGTCCTTGAGTGCTTCCACTTGGTCAGCTTGTTGAGAATCCTCAGCAAGTTAATGCAGGAGAATAAGTTTCTCCAGCAGAACTGGTTGTTGTCTCCAGCTTCCTGCAAGAGGAGAAGGAAAAGCTTAACCCTAATGCAGGGTTCAACAAGATGCCCTTGTGCAGAAACCCTTCCTTTTCACTGCCTGCACAAGCCTTGTTTCTGCTGGAGAGGAGCAGAGGAGCTGCCTCCTCGCTTGGCTTCCCATCAGGCTGCTGAGAAGCCAGGAGATTCCAAGGAAACCCATTCAGAAAGGCTGGGATGCAATCAGCGTTGTGGGTCAGAGCTCAGATAAATAGGTATAAATGGAATAGGTTGTCCAGGGAGGTTGTGAATGCTCCATCCCTGGCAGTGTTTAAGGCCAGGTTGGACGAGGCCTTGGGTGATATGGTTTAGAGCGAGGTGTCCCTGCCCATGGTAGGGGGGGTTGGAACTGGATGATCTTAAGCTCCTTTCCAACCCTAACTATTCTATGATTCTATGATTCTAAATCCCATTATCCCAGCATGGGAAACCTCCATTGTGGTACATTTGGATTCCTTGTTCACAGCCACAGGGCACTTTACAGCGCTCAGCACTGCTTAGAGGGCAGGTTTGGTCAATGATATAGCATCAATTCATGAATTACCACATGCTTTGTGGACATGTTACAGCCAAATGGAGTGGAATCACACAACCACACAGGGTGACACAGCAGGACAAGGCTTTGCTGTAACAAAGATCCCCTCCAGCTTGAGGGCAGCTGATGGATTGCTTTAGATACTGGTTTAATAGAAGCACCCCACGCTCCAGCTTGTATTAGAGCCTGTGAGCAGCAGTTCCATCCCTGCAGCAACTCACTTTATATCTGAGCAGCGCCGAGCACAGCACAGGGGTCCCTTCTTTGGGGATGAGGCTGGGGGCAAGTTCCAGCAAGCTCCAGCCCTTAACAACGCATGGCAATCAGCATCCCTCGGGAGGAGCATGGGGATGACCCCCGAGAGCCCCTTCCATCAGTGTCAAACCCAGCTTTGAAACACGATTCACCCACCATAAACCTGCCTGCTTGCTGCCTTTGTTCTTAAGCACCGACCCATCCCTTCAGTGAGCTGGTAAAATGCTTTTGTACCTAGAAGGCTTAGAGGCAAACTAAGGCAGAGGAACCCCTTGTTCGCTTAATGGGAGCTGGTAGAAGCCACTCTGAGCAAGCACCTTCCTGCCAGCAGAGGCTGTGCCTGTGCTGGGGCTCCTGTGCATAGGAGTGGGGATGTCACCGAGGTGCTCATGGGTGCTGCATGGGGCCCTGGGGGCCCAGCTCAGGAGCAGGGGCTGTGCAGTTTCATACCTGTACCCAGCCCTAATCTGCTCCCTCTGCACCAAGTAGGTTTCCAGACAGACCCCAGGAGAACAAGAGGATTCCCATCTCAGGGTTTCTTTCTGTCGCCCGTGTCACGTTGTCTCTATAGCTTCAAGTGAGATCCTTCCCATCTGCTGCCTAAGAGCTCAGCTCAGTCTCCCCTCGGGCAGGTTCAAGCCATTCCCCTTGGCCTGTCCCTACAGGCCCTTGTCCCAAGCCCCTCTCCAGCTTTCCTGCAGCCCCTTTAGGCACTGGAGCTGCTCTAAGGTCTCCCCTTCAGGAGCCTTCTCTTCTCCAGGCTGCCCCAGCCCAGCTCTCTCAGCCTGTTTTAACCATCAGCTAAGAAACGATTTACATTTGTGGTGTTAAAATCGCTGCATCAGTGTTCAAACCCCACTAAAACACCACCTAAAACGCTGGCTGAAGAAACACAAATACATGCACAAGCGCATCCCCCTTCCTAACTCCTGCATCGTTCATGGTCTCCCTTCCCTCTGATCCTCCTCCCTATTAACTCCAAAGCTTGTCCTTGCTTTATGTTTAGCTTTTAATGTCTATTAAATCCTTACATTCATGAGTGTCCTCCCAAAGATGGGCGCAGGAGGTAAAATTCAAGTTGACTTCCTCGTATTTCCTCATTAAATCAGTCTCCCATGAGGCTGACACCTCGGTGAGCCCACGAGGCACTGCCCGTTAATGCCACAGCTCCCAAACTGGGAACCAGGCCCTACTGGGAAGGGAGAACTGGGAATATTTTCCCTAAAAACTTCAGTCCTGCACAGCCATAAAGCTGATTGTAAACGTCAGGGTTAGCGTGGGGCACCGGAGCAGGCAGCGATGTGTCACTAGATGTCCCCATCGGGCCAGGAGAGGGTTGATGGGAGCCTGGGCAGGACACCCAGCCGCTTTGGGGTCCCTTGCAACCCCAACCATTCCGTGGTTCCATGGTCCCACACCTATCCACAGCCACAACGGGGTTCTGTATAAGGCTGATGTGACATAATGAGCTCACAGCAGGGATGTGCATCACAGCGGCACATCAGAAATGCTGGGGTTACCGATCCAATGAAGCCAGTTTGGCTCTGTGGGCTGAGCTCTGCCTTGAAGGGATTCAGGAGTAACTTTGACTCATAGGAACAAGGGAAACTCACTCATTGTAATGATTTTTGCCCTTATGCTGCTAAGGGAAACAGCACAGGATGAAGATGTTTGCAGCCAGGCAAGATGAGAGCATCCCTGTAGAGACTGGCTTGGCCTTTCCTAACGATCCCTGCATCATTTATGCTCTCCTTCCCTCTGCTCCCTCTCCCCATTAACCCCAAAGCTTGTCCTCCTTTCTCTGCACTTGAATTACAGCAGGTAGGAACCTGCCAGCATTAAAGTCTCCTCTGTAGTGTGTCTATCCACACAGCCCATTGCGCTGCCCGGTGTCCATAACACTTAGGCTCTTCTCTATAACACTCACACTCCTCTCCATAGGGAATGTGCTTCATTCCTTAATCTACCGGCCTCTAAGGAGCACTCACAGCAATTTAAACCTGGGAGGCAATGGCCTCTGGGCAAAGCCTTTTCAAAGCTGGTTCTCTCTTGGAGAAGCCGAAGGGGAAACTCTAAACCCAACCATTGCCTGGGGTGCACACCATGGGCACTGCCTCCTCCTCATAGTGAGTGATGGGAGGAACTGTCAGGGATGGAGGGGAAAAAAGTCTAAGTTTGGGGATGTCTGGGATTACAGTAAAAGGACGAGAGAAAAGAGGACGCAGAAATCCTTCCTCACCCTTCCCCATAGAGCAGGGCTAGTTAATAGGACCCTGTCTGTGCCGCTTACCAGGCTTTCTGCAGTGAGCTCGGGCAGATCACAGACTGTGCAATGAGGATAATCCAGGACAGAGATGCTGTGGAAGATGGGAAAGAAGGGACTTGTTAAAACCAGGTACAACTTCTGATGGTCTCCATGACTGTGCCCAGCAATGTGTAACTTCACCGTCCCTGCGGCTGGAATCGCAATGGCAGCGCTGCCTTATGCAGCAAGGAGTTTGGACTGGGAGGAATCCCATCTCCACATGGGGCACGTGAAGCATCCTGAAGCCAACACCATGGATGTGCTTCCCTCCGCATTCCAACGGCACGGATGGCATCCAAATGGGCTCCCAGCCTCACCACTGCCTCGTGGCTCAGCTTAATGGAGCATCTTGATTCCTCCTGGCTCTGATGCGCATCCCGAGTGCATTAATAGGGACTCGAAGGATTCGGATCCATTAAGACATCATCGATCAGTTTTTCATATGCATATTTAACAAAAGGAAGGAAAACCAACAACAAAGCAGATGTTAGGATACCCCGGAGACATCTGGTTTCCAGCAGGAGCAGTTGAACCTCCCTGGATCAGAGCATCCAGCAGCAAACCCAACCTCATTTTCCAGGTGTGTATCCTGCCTGTGCAGCCTCCATCAGGAAGCAGAGGGAGCAAAGCGCTCCTGAGCTATGTCCCCTCATCACTTACATGATGTTAAGGCACAGAACTGAAAGCAGAAGTTATTATTACCAAGTGAATGAATATATTGCTGTCTGTTTTTCATCCCCGCACATACACAGCCGCAGCATGCAGGAGACACACCAGGGTACACAGGCAGCTTGAAAAGCAACCAGAAGAGCATCAAAAAGAAGCAGAAAGGATCTTTTCATCATCCCAATAGCAACATCCCCTGCAGGGCTCCCTTCTGAGCAGGGAAATCCAACCCAGTCCTCCTGAGGTTCATGGAATCCCAGGATGGATCCATACAGAGAATCCCAGAGGGGCAGGATCCCCTTCCTGAGCTGATGCTCACGCTCTGGGGGTGCAGCCCAGCACACACTGAAGCCAGGACCTGCAGTAACCAAGCCAGCCCCTTAACACGGCCAGAGGTAAGAGACATTGCCATGTATGCAAAACCTAAAGAAGCCAGGAAGGAGGAATTATAGGCAGTACAAAGGACCTAGAACACTCCATCCCATCCGGCCTTTTGGAAGCTGTGGCCCACAGATGCCCATTGGCACTGGGCTGCTCTCCAGGAGTCCATGTAAAGACTAAAACAAGCCCCCTGCAGCAAGGGAGATGGGTCTGTGTGTATTGTAATAGTCCAGTGAGAACTGGGAACACCAATCCAGTCCTCCCCATTAAGCAGATGGGATTTGCTCCCCTACAGCACATTCCTGCAGTGGAGAGTGTATGTCCCAAAGCCACGCTAGGGACCAGAGGTCACTTGGTCCCACCACACATGCACACGTTAGGGTTCCTCATGCACAAAGCCCCCCTTCTCCATCACCTCCCTGTTCCCCAGAGGTGGCTGTACCTGTTCTTGGCAGTGATATAAGACATGATGTTTTGGTTGAAGAACTTCAGGATCAGCGGGATGCAGTTGGCAAACACCAGATGTTGGGACACGTACTCAAACTGAGGAGGAGAAGTGAAATGGGTCAACGGTTAGCTAGAATAAGTGGGAGCATCACTTGGGAATGGAAACCTGGGAATGGAAACCCATTTCCAGCCAGGAGTAAAGGAGTCTTGGTGGTTTTCTCTAGAACCTCACAGACCATCTGCCCCTTGCAGAAGCTGCTGTATAAGGTTTGCATCAGGGACAGCAGAGCCAACCAGATGGAAAACTCTTCCTGCAGAGAGTGGGCACACAGACTTTATGGAAGTAGTTTGGAATCCCAGACTGGTTTGGGTTGGAAGGGACCTTAAAGCTGATTCAGTTCCAGCCCCTGCCATGGGCAGGGACCCCTTCCACTGGAGCAGCTTGCTCCAAGCCCCTGTGTCCAACCTGGCCTTGAGCACTGCCAGGGATGGGGCAGCCACAGCTTCTCTGGGCACCCTGTGCCAGCGCCTCAGCACCCTCACAGGGAAGAGCTTCTCCCTTATCTCTAACCTGAACTCCCCTGTTTCAGTGTGAACCCATCACCCCTTGTCCTATCACTGCAGTCCCTGATGAAGAGCCCCTCTCCAGCATCCTTGTAGCCCCCTTCAGACACTGGAAGCTGCTGACAGCTCACCCAAAAGTAGACACAAAAGCAGAATCAGGGGCCCACAGCCTTCTCCAGACTTAGCCACAGACTGCCAGGGTCCTGCCACGGAGGAACAATGAGAGGGGCTGGTTTGGGACTGAAGTGAGACAAATCAGTGAAGGCATCTGGGGCACCCAGAGCCAATGTAGGGTTGTGAAGAAGTGGGGGCTTGTTTCATTTACCCAATTCAATATGTAATATTTATCTATCAATATATAATATTTAAGCAATCCCAGGCACAGCTACAGGCTGGGCAGAGAAGAGATTCAGAGCAGCCCTGCAGAGAAGGACTTGGGGGTGCTGCTCCATGAGAAAATGAACATGAGCCGGCTTCAGTGTGTGCTTGCAGCCCAGGAAGCAACCGTATCCTGGGCTGCATCAAAAGCAGTGTGACCAGCAGGTCGAAGGAGGTGATCCTGCCCCTTTATTCTGCTCTCGTGAGACCTCACCTGGAGTATTGTGTACAGTTCTGGTGTCCTCAACATAAAAAGGACATGGATCTGTTGGAACAAGCCCAGAGGAGGCCACAAGGATGATCAGGGGACTGGAGCACCTCCCATATGAAGATAGGCTGAGAAAGTTGGGGCTGTTCAGCCTGGAGAAGAGAAGGCTGCGTGGAGACCTCATAGCAGCCTTCCAGTATCTGAAGGGGGCCTATAGGGATGCTGGGGAGGGACTCTTCATTAGGGACTGTAGTGATAGGACAAGGGGTAATGGGTTAAAACTTAAACAGGGGAAGTTTAGATTGGATATAAGGAGGAAATTCTTTCCTGTTAGGGTGGTGAGGCACTGGAATGGGTTGCCCAGGGAGGTTGTGAATGCTCCATCCCTGGCAGTGTTCAAGGCCAGGTTGGACGAGGCCTTGGGTGATATGGTTTAGTGTGAGGTGTCCCTGCCCATGGCAGGGGGGTTGGAACTGGATGATCTTAAGGTCCTTTCCAACCCTAACTATTCTATGATTCTATGATTCTATCAATGGGCCTCCCAACACACGTGGGTTTGCACCACACCGGAACCTTTACAAGAAAGGCAAAACCATTAAAAACTCCTTGTTTGACTTGGAAAATGGTGGGAAGTGGGCCCAGGCCACAGCTGCAAGCCCTCATGTGGGTGCAGGTCAATGGGTGCCATGCAGATGAACCAGAAATCAGACTGCACCTCGGAGCCTGTGTTGAAACCGGAGCCCAAGAACTTGATCCCGCCGAGGGACCCAGGACCAGATTAGCTGACCCCATGAGCTCCTGCCCAGCTCTATTTCTGGTCACTGGAGATGACAGAGCAAAAGGCAGCCTCGTCTCACCCCAGTCCCCTTCCCCCTCCATCAGGGTTGTTTGTGCTTGTGGGAGCTCCCAAAGCACCACAGGGTTCTTCCAGAAGCTGGAAAACTCCTTCCATGTGAGTGGAAACAATCCTGTCACAACACAGCCTAAGCTATCCCTGCCTGCAACCCTATCCCTAACACAAACCCTGGCCCACAACCAGGATTCACTGCTATGGAACGTGATCTGCGGCTCCTCATGGAAACCCAGCCCGGAGAGGTCTCTTTAGAACAGGGTCTATCAGGTCCCACTGGCTTCAAGATGACCTGGTGGTGGCTGAGCCTCACCTGGTAGATGTGGTTCAGCTTGAAGTGCTTGAGGAGCAGCAGCAGCAAAGCCGAGATGCTTTTCACGATGATCTCTTTGTGTCTGTTCACGTCGATGCCCAGCTTCATGCTCTGGAGCACGGTGATGCTGGGATGGAGGGGAGAAGGCAACAGCACAGTGGGAAATGGGAGCGAGGAGGACAAAGGGACTGAGAGTTCATATTCATCTGGACAAGCTCCAAGGAAACAGGGACCTTTGCTTCCCCCTTGGAGTCTCATTCCAGAGAATCCCAGACTGGTTTGGGTTGGAAGAGACCTTAAAGCTCATCCAGGGACCCCTTCCACTGGAGCAGCTTGCTCCAAGCCCCTGTGTCCAACCTGGCCTTGAACACTGCCAGGGATGGGGCATTTCCCACTATCCAAGCTTATCCAAAGAGCTATCCCCAGATCTGGAGCCTCCCAAACCTACTGGCAAACCCCAGCTCTCCTGCTGTGCCCAAGACCTGGTGGCAGAGCTGGGATGGATGGTGACCACCCCATCAGGGACTTACGGCATCTCTTCAGGCAACACGTCTGCCAGGATGTTGATGGAGTCAGTCTTGGCTTTGGAGGTGGGAGCTGCAGCCAGGAGGATCTTCAGCAATGCTATCTGTAGGGGAGGGCAGGCAGAGAGGGATGGGACATTCCTTCCTTCTCCTTCCCTTGCTGGACCCACACAGCTTCAACCCAACTCAGTCGGGCTTCACCAGCCCAAGCTCTGCTCACCATGATGGACCAACTAAGCCAAGGTTCATCCTCTCTGTTCATACCCTGCACAGCCAGGTCAGAAAGATCATCTAATACCAGCCCCCTGCCATAGGTCAGCATTGTTCCCACTCCTCTGCACACATCCCATTTTCCAACCACTGACCAGTCTCCAACCATCTGACCGTGTCCCTGTGTATCTGCACCCCTTCACCCTCTGAATCCCTCCTCTTGGCCTGTGCTTTCCACCCAGCTCTGCTCTGGATATGCACCAGAATCCCACCCCTCCAGGCCATTCAGCCCCATGCTAGGCTCTAAATTGCATCATTCCCCATTCAAAAGCTCTTTGCTTGTAAGAACCACGGTCTTACCATATACTGGGGCAGGTTGTACAACATTGCTCGATACAAGACCTCGCAGGGGGTTTCCTGGACTTCCTCTTCCCCCTGTAGCACAGGGGAACATGAGAAACAAGGGAAGATGGAGCACTTCCAGCCCAGACCTGGGGTATGACAGAAACTCCATCAAACCCAGCCTGAGGACTGGACAGGGAGCTCCACTGCTACACTGACCAAGATATGGACCCCTAGAATAAAGAGCATCCAAAGTGTGTCCTAAGGATCATGGAGACATATGGGTTTCTGTGACACCTTGGAAACACATCTATCTAGCGCTGGGGTGCAGCAGATTCTTACCAGAGACATGGGGCACTTCTCCAGCTCCTCCTCGTTCTTGATCTGGATGTCTGAGATGGAAACGTATTTGTGCTGGCAAAACACACAGACAGGGGCAGAGGAACACCACAGGTGAGGGATGGGACACAGGCAGTGAGGACAAGAGTTGCTCATTCACCTATATCTTGAGGTAGGTGTGTGAAGAACTCATCTTTGTGTGGACATCCCTGTCCCTGAAGCCCCTCACACGATGCCTTTGATTACTTCCACCTACTCCTAGCATCTCCCTGTAAGCAAATGGAGAGGGACAGTCTCCTCCAAAAGGCAAGCCAGAGCTTAGATAGGGCCAGTAGGCAACTGGAGGTGTCTCATTCCATGTGGAGCGCTCCAGGAGCCAAGGCTGGACATGCTTCCCCTTGGGAACAGCACGACTCTGGGAGTGTATGTCCAAAACCAGTCTGTCACCTTCAAAGCACGTGGTGACTGCTCACCAGGACACAGCAATGCTATATCCCTATACAAAGGGGAAGTCCAAGTGCTGGATGATCCACTTGGAATTGCAGTGAGGACTCAAGTTTCCTTTGCCCCAGTTCCTGCAAGAGCTCCAGAAGCTTTTCCTGGGATAATGAACTAGAAGGGATTTTCTTACATGGGATCATGAGGATCCCACACTGCATGTGCTGGGCATCCAGCCCCTCTCAAGCCATTCAGACCTTGACTGGATTCAGATGGACTGCCCAGGGCAGGGAGAGGAAGAGCTCAGACTGAATGAAGAGGAGTAGAAGACTAAATTCCCATGAAATTCCCATGTACTGTGGGCTGAGAACCTGCATCCTCAGAAGATGAAACTCCTTCTAAGTCCTGTATCACTGAGTTGATGTGGGTAAGACCTGATGCCCTACAATTCCCCTAGGAGCTTCGTGACCTTGGCCAACGATCGCCATGGGTCTGATAGAATCATAGAATCATAGAATAGTTAGGGTTGGAAAGGACCTTAAGATCATCCAGTTCCAACCCCCCTGCCATGGGCAGGGACACCTCACACTAAACCATATCACCCAATGCTTCATCCAACCTGGCCTTGAACACTGCCAGGGATGGAGCATTCACAACCTCCCTGGACAACCCATTCCAGTGCCTCACCACCCTAACAGGGAAGAATTTCCTCCTTATATCCAATCTAAACTTCCCCTGTTTCAGTTTTAACCCATTACCCCTTGTCCTATCACTACAGTCCCTAATGAAGAGTCCATCCCCAGCATCCCTATAGGCCCCCTTCAGGCTGCTATGAACATCTCCTCAGAGAGTGCCAGGGAGCACAGCTAGCAGGGAATGGGGTTAGAGAAGCTGAGTGCTGCTCAGCGAGGCTTTTTGTGCTGCTGCACCATGCATGGAGCCACCGGCTCACCTGCTTCAGGGTCTTCACACTCTCATGGATGGGCCGTGGGAGCCCTATGAGGGTCTCAGTGTCTCTGTGGAGGAAGGAAACAGTCAATCCAAGGCTGGGAAGGGGATCTGTGTTCCAACAATCCCATGGCAGGCAGGGTGAAAGAGGGAACCTGGGGTTTACTGAATGCATCCCAGATGGGGCAGGGGATGGGAGAGGTGGCCGGAGCTGCCCAGCCTCCTCCCAGCAAAGCCTGCACTGGAGAAGAGGACATCAGGGTGAAGAACTGGGGTGAAAGCAGCTCTCTGCACAGAGACCTATAAAGGGTCACACCAGGATGATCCAATGCATTCAAACTGGGGTATCTGCCGTGGGTACCGGATTGTCCCGACCCCATCACACATGAAACCAGGCTCAGGCGTGGGCCAGGGGTCACCTATTGTGGGCTAGGCCTCACTTCTAATAGCAAGAGGTGCTTTGGGGACCAACATCTCCAAGAACACGTTTCTATAACCCCAAGTGCATTGCTGCAGTGAACCCAGCTCTGCCTCATCCCACCCGTGCCTTGGGCTGGTTGGGGTCATAAACCCATTGGTGGACACCTCTCACCAGTCACACTGCACTGATGGGAGCCATGGGGCAGCCTTGGCTGGACCCACACATGAAACACTCACTGTCCCAGCGTGAACCCGATGAATTTGTTCCTGCTTGACTCCAGGAAATGCTCGATGTCTTTCTGCCTGATGGAGCAAACACAAGGAGAAGGTTGGACCCGGAGCACATCGCAGCCTCCACTGCTCACAAAGGACAGTGTGGGGCCAGCAAAGAGCCTCGGAGCTGTCTAGGGTTGATTTCTAGAGGTCTTAATAGCAGTGGCACAGAACCCCCATTGCTCTCATGGGTTGGGATCAATGTGAACCGAAACCAGTTGTGTTTGGTGTGCAACCACACGGGAGCTGCACGCAAACTGGGAGGAGCTCTCTACCACCAGCTCCTTCTAATCCACCCTCTCTCCTCCTAGCACATAGAATGAACCAGGCTGGAAGAGACCTTTAAGACCATGGAATCCAAGCTGCCAAGGCCTCCAGTGCATGCACCTCCAAGCAGCATCTGCTCCCTCTGAGTGACCAAATGTTGTCCCTGCAGTGTATCACAGCACGAGCTGCTCCCAGAGCCACCGGGCACCGTGTCCACCTTGAGCATCATTCATGAGACCCAGCCAAGGGCCTCAGCAGGACACAGAACCAGAGCCAAGGCTCCCAAAGGCAGAGAGAACCCAGCTGGGCTTCAGGCACCAAACAAGCATGAAGTTACATGGAGTGACAGCACCACGTGTACGGAGAGCAGCTCTTGCTGTGTCCATGCGAGGAGGGCTCTGGGTGCACACGCTTGACCCCAGCTCTGCTCCCACCTCAGAACGATGCTTTTGTGGGTTAAAGATATTGGATTAAATCCATCCAGGGGTTGGATCAACAGCCAAAAAGCTCACTTGGATCAGAGGGAAAGGGGCAGAGGTTGTCACCTCCTTTTCCCAGTGCGCCCCCATATCATGTGCAGCAGGACTGGTCTTAGGAAGGGGAAGCACCGACTTCTTTATCCTTTAAAGATCCTCTTTATCTTTTCTCTCCCATTTTCCACCTTAGAGCAAGGCCACTTCCCCTGGCAACACAAGAGTGCCCTCAACGAGCAAGAGGCAAAGTCCTGCACCACTTCCCAAGATGAACGGTCCACAACCTTACCCTACCAAAACCCACTGGTGCCGACTGGGAAAGCTGACCCTGCTCCCATAGCGCTCCAGCACAAGGCTCCTTCCCAGTGCAGCTGGGATGCCCAAGGTGGGATTGCCACTTAATGCCTTGGCTTGTAAAACATGGGGAGGAGCTCAGCCAAACCCCATCCTGAAAGGCCACAGTGGTTGGGCCCCACTTGCCACAGCCTGACCCCCACCTCAAGGAGCCCCCAGAGGCTTTCACCTGACTTTGGGGGCCCAGGGGAGCCCTTTGGGGAATGACACCCGTTCCATGGGCAGGCGCTGGGCCGGCATGGCGGGCATCCCCGCATCCCGCTCCATCAGGTCCAGCTCCCCCTCGAGCCCGCTCTCCACGTCATCCGTCTCCTCTTCATCCACCCCTGCTTCATCCTGCTTGAAGGGGTCTCTCTCGTTGTACATGTCCAGGCTGTCCTGCTTCACCAGGGGCTGCAGCACAAGGGGAAGGGGACATTCAGGTCACTCCATGGGTGTTATTTCCCTCCCGGATGATTCCATACTGGAAGGATCTAACCTTGATGAGCTTTCCCTCCGAGCTCTTGCCCCCAGAGCCTGGACAAGGAATAACCCTCTCTGTACCTCTAACATTGCTGTTCTAAGAGCTCTGACCTCATTTTCCACCTTAACTCTTGTATCTACCATCCCACATCTCTCCCCTAGCAGGAGGCCCTTGCATCCTCAGCCCATAGCAGCACAGCAACTCGGAGAGTGGAGCTAAATAAAGACGAGCTTGCTGGGAGCGGTTTGCTTCTTGGTGCTTATCACCCTTTGCCATAAGGTCAGGATGTCCTCTTGCATCCTCTGGATCAAAAGCACCACAGGACTGAGCGGCTGCAACTGAAACTGGGTGAGGAGAGGCTCCCCATGACCCAGCTTCAGTGTGTGCTTGAGCCCAGACCCCCCCCGTGTGCTGGGCTGCACCCCCAGAGCGTGAGCAGCAGCTCAGGGAGGGGATCCTGCCCCTCTGCTGTGCTCTGGGGAGACCCCCCCTGCAGCCCTGATCCAGCTCTGGGGCAGCAGCACAAGAGGGATGTGGAGCTGTTGGAGCGAGTGCAGAGGAGGCCATGGAGATGCTGCGAGGGCTGGAGCAGCTCTGCTCTGGAGCCAGGCTGAGAGAGCTGGGCTGGGGCAGCCTGGAGAAGAGAAGGCTCCTGAAGGGGAGACCTTAGAGCAGCTCCAGTGCCTAAAGGGGCTGCAGGGAAGCTGGAGAGGGGCTTGGGACAAGGGCCTGTAGGGACAGGCCAAGGGGAATGGCTTGAACCTGCCCGAGGGGAGACTGAGCTGAGCTCTTAGGCAGAAGCTCTTCCCTGTGAGGGTGCTGAGGCGCTGGCACAGGGTGCCCAGAGAAGCTGTGGCTGCCCCATCCCTGGCAGTGTTCAAGGCCAGGTTGGACACAGGGGCTTGGAGCAAGCTGCTCCAGTGGAAGGGGTCCCTGCCGGCAGGGGTTGGATGGGGTTTGGTGTTGGTTTTGGGTGGGGGGGGGTGGTTTGTTGGGTGCCAGGAGGCCGCGGCCGCTCTCACCCTCCGGCTGCGGTGTCCTCCGCGCTTGTGCTGCTGCTGCTCCAGCAGCTCCATGGAGCAGGCGGGGGGTGAGGCCGCTCTCATGCTGCGCATCACCTGGATGCTGTCCTCCGGCAGCGGCGCCAGCCCCAGCTCCGCGCGCTTCCGCACCTTCAGCTCCTGCAGGGCTCCAAATCCACCCAGCGTGAACTAGGGACCAAGGGGAGGTGTGAGCGAGCAGGGGCACAGAGAGCCCCCTTGCAGGGCAGCAGCACACCAACACCACTGAAGTAGATGGATGAAACCTGTGCCATAGCTGAGGATGAAGACACCATGCACTGGGTCATGGAATCAACACAACCATAGAAACACATAGGGTGGAAAAGGCCTTCAAGATCTGCCCCCAAAAGTGTTCAATGCCCCATCCCTGGCAGTGCTCAAGGCCAGGTTGGACACAGGGGCTTGGAGCAAGCTGCTCCAGTGGAAGGGGTCCCTGCCCCTGACCTTACATGATCTTAAGGTCTCTTCCAACCCAAACCATTCCATGATTCTATGACTCCAAATCATTGAGGCCAACCATTCATTCTCCACGCTTCTCCCCAGCCCCACATCCCCTGCGTGGTTCATCCCACCCCCATCCCAGAAGAAACCGGTGTCAGCTTCCTGTGCCATCCCAAATAACCTCAGTGGGGTTGCACAGTGGGGAACATCCAAGCTGCATATTCCCAACAGGAGAAGAGAAGGCTGCGTGGAGACCTCATAGCAGCCTTCCAGTATCTGAAGGGGGCCTATAGGGATGCTGGGGAGGGACTCTTCATTAGGGACTGTAGTGATAGGACAAGGGGTAATGGGTTAAAACTGAAACAGGGGAAGTTTAGATTGGATATAAGGAGGAAATTCTTTCCTGTTAGGGTGGTGAGGCACTGGAATGGGTTGCCCAGGGAGGTTGTGAATGCTCCATCCCTGGCAGTGTTCAAGGCCAGGTTGGATGAGGCCTTGGGTGAGATGGTTTAGAGTGAGGTGTCCCTGCCCATGGCAGGGGGTTGGAACTTGATGATCTCAAGGTCCTTTCCAACCCTAACTATTCTATGATTCTATGGTTGGTTTCTGGGAAGAAAAGGAAGGGTTTGCACCCACCAGCAGCACCTTCCAGAGCAGGAGCAGAACCTTCCTCATGGGGAAGTGCGGAGCGTGGCCACTGCAGAACTTGGTCACCATCGTGAAGAGCAGCAGAGCAAAGGGCTCTTCGGTGTGCACCGGGAAACCTGGTGGGGAGAGGGAGCGGGGTCAGAGCGGGTTCCCCATCCCCACTGATCCACACACCCGAGGGCACCCCCAGGGCTCACTCAGCTCCATCCTGAAGGTCTCCCGGCAGGTTTTCCACTCGGGGGGATCCGTGTCCTGCTCCACGCGGATGTTCTCCACCAGCAGGTACATGACGCTGAGCAGCACCCTGCCGGGGCAGCGCCGCACTGGGTGATGCTGCCGGCCCCATGGGGCTCCCTTTGTCCCCACGGCCTCCCCACTTCGTGTGGGGCGGAGGTGGGTACCTGAGCTCCGTGCTGTCGGCCAGTGAGATGGCCGGCTTCCGCAGAGCGCTGCTGCAGGCCTGGCTGTTGCTGCGGGGAAGGGGGCACGGTCAGAGCCGGCCATGGGCACAGGGTGATCCTCACCCCCCCAGGGCCAGTGTGGGTCTGAAGCGGTGGGGACACTGCTGGGGCTGTGGCACCTCCCTGGTCCTCAGTGAGGAGGAGGAAGGGGAAAGAAGAGGGGGAGAGAGGAGCATCAGGAGGATGGAAGGAGTGTGAAGAGGATGGGGAGATGAGAAGGAAGGTGATGAGGATGGGGAGAAAGAAGATGAGGAGAAGGAGGGTGAAGGAGACAGAAGAGGAAGGTGAGGAGTATAGGGAGAAAGATGAAGAGGAGGGCAAAGAGGAAGGGAGAAGATGGTGAGGAGGATGGAGAGAAAGAAGATGAAGGAGGAGGAGGAGAATGGAGAAAGAGGAGGGTGAGAAGATGAAGAAGAGGAGCATCAGGAGGATGGGAGAAGAGGAGCATCAGGAGGATGGGAGAAGAGGAGCATCAGGAGGATGGGGAGAAGATGAGGAGGACGAAAAGGAGAGGCAGAAAGAAGAGGAAGAGGATGAAGAAGAGGACGAGGAGTATAGGGACAAAGAGAATGGAAGAAGAGGGCCAGAAGGATAGGGAGAAAGACAATGAAGAGATGAGGGTGAGGAAGACAGAAGAAGAAGGTGAGGAGTATAGGGAGAAAGAAGATGAAGAGGAGGGCAAAGAGGAAGGGAGAAGAGGATGAGGAGGATGGGGAGAAAGAAGATGAAGGAAGAGGAGGAGAATGGAGAAAGAGGAGGGTGAGAAGATGAAGGAGCATCAGGAGGATGGAAGGGAAGGTGAGGAGTATAGGGAGAAGGATGAAGAGGAGGGCAAAGAGGAAGGGGGGGGGGGGGTGGAAGATGAAGACGAGGAGCATCAAGAGGTTGGGGAGAAGATGAGGAGGGTGGAGAGGCAGAAAGAAGAGGAAGAAGATGAAGAAGAGGGTGAGGAGTATAGGGACAAAGAGAATGGAAGAAGAGGGCCAGAAGGATAGGGAGAAAGACAATGAAGAGATGAGGGTGAGGAGAAAGAGTGAGATGAAGCAGAGGACAGGGAGGGTGAGGAGAGCACGGGCAATGGGGCCTCTCACTCGATCTCCATGTTGAGGAGCTCCAGGAAGGCAGTGAAGGTTCCCAGCTGGTACAGGAGGAAGCAGTTGTGCCGAGACCAGTGCAGGACATCACCTTCCTTATCGCAGTCTCCAAAGACCCCTGGGGAGGCCCAAAGGGAGATGCTGGTAAGGGGAAAGCTGCCTTTGAGCCCCTGGAGCACACGGGACCACCATGAAGGGGCTTCATTGCAATGACCAAACCCAACAGAAGGCTTCTCCCAAGCCCCCATGCCAAAGGGGCAGGGAGTGGATACCCATCGCATCCAGACCGGGGCAATGCGGTCCTTACCCTGTGCCAGGTACAGGATGGCTCGCGCCACCTTGAGCCTCTTGTCCCTGTTGACCACCTCCAGCCCGTCCAGCAGGCGCATCACATAGGCCCTCTGCTGAGCCCCAGTCAGCTCCAGCCACCTCCTGCCCTGCACTGGGAAAGGGACACCACAACCAGGGGTGCCCCCTGCGGGTCCCCTCGCACCCCGAGCCCCCCGAGCTGGTACCTTGGCCATGGAAATCCTCCTCGAAGCATCTCCTGTTGCTGCCGAGCTCGGGCTCCTCGGTGTAGCTGTAGAGCTCTGGTGGAGGGAGGGCTCAGCAGGGACCGGGAGGAGCTTCACCCTCCTCCTCATGGCCAAGCTCCTTGGGGGGCCCTGAAGCACCCAAGGAGATGGGGGGCAGAGACCTGAGCTGATCCCTGAGCCCTTCTGCAGATCCAAAGGGGAACCTGGGGCACCCAGTGCTGCCAAACCCCTCGTTTTCATCCCTGTCTCCTCCTTAGAATCATGGAATCAGCCAGGCTGGAAAAGCCCTTTAAGCTCATCCAGCCCAACCGTTCCCAGCACTGCCAAGGCCACCACTGACCCATGGCACTGAGGCCTCGTCTCCACGCTGTGTGAACACTTGCAGGGATGGTGCCTGCAGCCCTGCCCTGGGCAGCCTGTTCCAATGCCTGAGCACCCTCTGGGGCAGGAATTGTTCCTCAGCTCCATCTAAACCTGCCCTGGTGCAGCTTGAGGCCGGTTCCTCTTGTCCCATCCCTTGTTCCTTGGGAGCAGAGCCCAGCCCCTCCTGGCTCCATCCTCCTGTCAGGCAGTTGGAGGCAGCCATCAGGTCCCCCCTGAGCCTTCTCTTCTCCACACTGAACCCCCAGGTCCCTCAGCCCTTCCCCATCACCCCTGTGCTCCAGGCCCTGCACCAGCTCCGTGCCCTTCTCTGGCCCCACTCCAGCCCCTCAATGTCTCTCTTGGCCCCACAGTGATGATGCTTGAGCTGCATCTCCAAGGGGATTTTTAGGGGGCACTTTTCTGTCCCAGTTTGCACAGGGAGGGACCACAGGAGCCCCCAGGCTCCCATTTCACATCCACCGACTTGGACATTTTGGGGCTGGACTTGGAGGGCCCCAACACTGTGCCTGTTCCTATAAATTCCTATACAATCCCCATAGTCCTACAGCGCTGAGCAGCACCGGAACGGTCCCAAAACAGCAGAGGAAGGATCCCTCATAGAGCAAGGCCAGGGAGCACAGCCCCGACACTCCCAGCTATAAATAACCCTTTGCTGGGGGGGGCACAGGGTGATGGGGCAGTCCCACAGCGCGAGGATGCAGGATGAGGCCTCTGCCCATCGCGACACCCACGATAACGGGTGACATTCCCCAGCCTGGACACGTCACCCCTGCAGCATCCCCATGCGTCCCTTGTGCTCATTCCCTCTATTAATAAACGCCTCCTGCTCTGTTATCACCAGGATGGTACCACCCCGCATCCAGCCCCCATCCCGGGAGCCCAATTCCCTATGGGAACCCTCCCTCCCCAGCAGGCACCTATTAACAGCAGCACGGCACCAAAGCCCATCTCACCTCCTAACTCGGCGCCGTGGCCGTCAGCATCCCCGTATTCAAACTCCAGGTTGGGACAATCCACGGAACCCTGCGGAGATTGGGAACAGCACGGGGGGGGCTGGCACATCCCTATGGGTATTTCGGGAGGGGGATGGCTGCTGATGCTCCCTGCTCTGCGGTAAAGCTCCTCCAGCCTCTGGAGCAGCCGCTGGGGCAGGGATGATCCCGATCTGGGTGCTTAAAACCCAGTGTGAATCTGGGATGCGAGTGGAAAACCAGCGCTGGGCAAACCCCCAGGGAAGCAGAGGCAGGGTCCAAAGGGGATCCGTGGGGTGTTTCAGAGCCTTAAAAGCAAAGCCTGGGGCTGGGTGGATGCAGCAGTGCCCCACGGACACCACCCGTGCTCTGTCGTCGGCATCCCACATCCAACAGCTTTCCAGCCCTTTCCCAGCCCATGGAATGGTTTGGGTTGGAAGGGACCTTAAAGCTCCTCCAGTCCCAACGCTGCCACTAGAGCACGAAGCGTGTTGGGGATCTCTCCCCCCTTTCCCTGCGGAGGAGGAACTGGAGCATGAAACTTCACCGGAGGATGAAGCGGGGCCAGGAGCAGCCGCAGCACCGGGAGCCCATGAATGGGTGATCACGGAATGAGCATCATTCCTCAGCCTGAATCCCTGCATCCCCCCCCCCGGGCAGCCCGGCAGGGAGCGATGCGCATCGGCCCCATTAATATTGATGACCCCGGGCTCCGGCTCGCTCAGAAGCGCTGGTTTCTGAGCCCCGTTCTTGCAGCCGGGCCCGTGGGGAGCTGAAGCCGGTGAGGAATTCGGTGCTAACCCGCTTGGAGAGCCGGGGCCAGGGGAAACAACCCCGCAATTCCCGGGCAGGGCGCAGGGGCCGCCGCTCGGACATCGCCCCCTGGGGAAACGGGACCCGTTTGGGGACACGGAGCCCCTCGGTGGGGGGGGTAACATCTTCCCATCCCCGTGGCCTCACGGCGGCCGCGGCATCAGCCCGGGGTTGGGTCCTTATGACCCGAGCCCGGTCCTGCTTCCAGAGCCGGGCACCAAGAGGCCGGTGCGGGGCAGTGGCAGCGAGCAGCGGGGCGGAGAGGTTGGAGGGATGAGGGGTGGCGGGGACCCCAGACCCTGAAGGGGGGCAGTGGGTGCCTGGAGCAGCCCAGGACCTGTTGGGACCCCAAACCCTGCTGCAGGCTCTGGGAGTGGGGCAGGGAGGTGCCTGTGACAGCGGCGGGGATAGGGAACCCGTTAGCCCCGCACCGGGCTTCTTCCAACCACGGCAACGCAGGGACCCGAGCACTGAGCAGGGACCCCCCGCACCCCCTCCCGCCCGATCACGGTGGCACCGCCGCCTCCAGCCCTCACCTCGGACTCCTTGCGCTGGCTCCTGAAGAGGTCCCGGCTCTTGGGCTGGGGCTGGGGCTGGGGCTGGGGCTGGGGCTGGGGCTGGGGCTGGGGCTGGGGCTGGGCCGGCAGAGCCCGGACCGGGACCGGGGCCGGGCCCCCGCCTGCCGCCGCCTCCATCCGCCGCAGCGCCGCCGAGCACGTGTGTGACGGAACCCCGCGGCCCGGCCACGCCCCTCCCCGCCGCGCCCATTGGTCTGCAGCGACAGGGGGCGTGGCCTGAGGACACACCCCCGGCTCGCCATTGGGCGAGGGGCGGGGCCAGACGGGGGCTTGGTGGGGGGGGGGCGAGCTCATGGGGTGCTGGGACGGGGGGTGTTGGGGTACCCTCGGGATGGGGGGGTGCTGGGAACAGGGGGATTTGGGGTGGGAATGTGGAGGTGGCAGGTTTTGGGGGGGTCCCTGGGGGTGCTGGGAGCTAGAAATGCAACAAAGGGGGGTTATGGGGTGTCCTTAGGGATGATGGGAACAGGGGGGTCCCATGGAGGGTGAGGGGTGTCCCTAGGGGTGATGGGTTGGGGATTATGGGGGTGGTGGATGTAAGAGCTGCCCATGGGGCACATGAGGGGGTCCTGCTGGCATCAGGGGGTGCCCAGCATCACCCACTGAGTTGGTTTGTCCAAATCCTGGGTGAAAGCAGCTCCTGGGGGCCTGGAAACTGGGAAGCGGCAGAAACTGGGAGTCCCAATCCCCCCTGCTCCTCCCTCTGCACCCCATACAGGGAGCAATTGCTTTGGGGGTCACTGTGTGGATGGGGGGGAATGGACATCCCAGTTCAGTGTCACTCGTGTCCTTCACCACCACTGGACAGTGTTTGGGTGTTTCCCTCCCAGCACCCAGCGAGGAACCGCGTCAGGAGCAGGGCAGATAACGGGATGGTTTCCCAACCCCGCTCATCCCACTTCCCCCAAGGACACATCGGCAGCAAGAGCTCAAAGAGCAGCCCCAAGGACACCCAGCCCCAGAGCAGCGCTCCCCGATGAATTCACACGGCAGCAGTGGGAGCTGTTGGAGCGAGTGCAGAGGAGGCCATGGAGATGCTGCGAGGGCTGGAGCAGCTCTGCTCTGGAGCCAGGCTGAGAGAGCTGGGCTGGGGCAGCCTGGAGAAGAGAAGGCTCCTGAAGGGGAGACCTTAGAGCAGCTCCAGTGCCTAAAGGGGCTGCAGGAAACCTGGAGAGGGGCTTGGGACAAGGGCCTGTAGGGACAGGCCAAGGGGAATGGCTTGAACCTGCCCGAGGGGAGACTGAGCTGAGCTCTTAGGCAGAAGCTCTTCCCTGTGAGGGTGCTGAGGCGCTGGCACAGGGTGCCCAGAGAAGCTGTGGCTGCCCCATCCCTGGCAGTGTTCAAGGCCAGGTTGGACACAGGGGCTTGGAGCAAGCTGCTCCAGTGGAAGGGGTCCCTGCCCATGGCAGGGGTTGGGACTGGGGGAGCTTTAAGGTCCCTCTCAACCCCGTCATCCCATGGCTCTATGCAAAGACCCCACAGAGCCGCCGAGTTTCCCACTGTTTTATTGGTGGTTTGGGATTATAGTTTATTGCTGATCTAATACAATCACTCAGACATGAATAATTCAAACATCCTTTGAACATGTGACGCTGGCGAAGGTCTCGTCTCGCCGATGGCGGCTTCGGTCTCACTGTTTCCCATGTTCAGAACCGTTTCCTTACACAATTTTGCTGGTGTTGCCTAAATCTCCTTTTCTTTTTAATTCCTATTTCTTTAAAAACGTGTTACATTAAAAAAAGACAATCTTCCCAACCCAACCCCGACACGCTTAATTTCGAGATGATCATGGAATCCGATTCCACATTGATCAGGAATAAGCCAAGCAAGGCCAACAGCTTACAGAAGAAGCAGGACATGGAGGAGAGCGTTGAAATCGAGGTGGGAAAAGCCACTTGGGAGCTTCTTATTCTGATGATGATTTCCCGTTCCTCCTATCAGCTACCTGGAAGATAAACTGGGATTAAAATGGGCACAAAGGACTTCACGGATGGGTCAGCACCAGCGAATGCTGCACAAGCGATGGGCACAGGGTAGGTCAAGCACTGCGTGAGCGGTTCCAAAGGGTCTTGTGGCTGCAAAGGGATGTTCCCGGGGGCAGGAGTGGCTGTGGTTGGGATGAGCCTGTTTTCCAACGGCTGCTCTGCTCCAGGGGATCCCACAACCGTGTTCCACCTCGACCAGGAGTGGGATTTCAGGCTGGGGAGCACAACAGGAACCCCAGGTTCAGTGGCTGGTGCAGACAGAGGTCATCCAGTGGCATCTCCAATAGCTCCAGGGACTCATCCCAAAATCTCAGGATCTGGGTGAAATTGATGAGTGAGAGATGATTTCCGGTTTGTGGTTAGTGATGGATGATGAAGTCTTCTTGAAGCCCTACCAAATCCTGAAGGCCTTAAGGTCGTCTTGAGATCTTCTCAAGGTCCTTTCTCAAAGCCCTAAGGTCTTCCCAAAGCCCTGAGGTCTCCCAAAGGTCTTCCCAAGGTTTTCCTTCCAGGCTTTGAGAAATGTCAAAGAGAAACTTGGAAGAAGTGAGCAGACGAGAACATCTGCTCTGCACATGAGCAGCTTCCAGTCAAGCTGAGCAGCCCTCAGCAGCAACAGCTCTGAGGACGTGGCTTCCAAGACCATAATCCCCCAGTTTTCCTTTCTTGTGCGTGAAGGAGCTGCCACTAAAGAGCTTTTTCCATGATGGCCAAGTCCATGAGGACAAAACAAGAACCTGCAGCTGATGAGGGACTCGGGTACCAACGCAGCCACCATAGGATAAAGGCTTTTGCGCTCACGGGGGTTGGGTGATTCTATTTTAGAAGGACCATGTTCTCCATGTGAACCATTAAAGTGACTCTGATGGGACACAAGAGACTTGGAAAGTCACCTTGGGAAGTGTTCCAGTGGGACAGCCTGGGCTAAACCAGGTAACTCTGGCAGATCTGCTCTCCATTGGGTCTGATGCATCAAGAGCCGAGTCAACTGAAGGGGCTCAGTGATGCTGAACCCTTCCCCAGGCAGAAGATCAGTGTGGGGTTACTCTGGTGTTCATCTCATACACTCAAAGGGGGGTTCCAGATTTTATCCTAGAAATATGACTGGAAAATAAAACTCCTAAGATTCCCATTAAGGGCTGAAATTCAGCTGGAGAAAGACCTCACATGGACACGGGTCCTCCCAGCGGGATGGCTGACGAGCTCTGCTTGGGTTGGGAAGAGCTCCCCGACACGTGAGCAGCATTTGTTGGGTGAGGATCCAGGGCTCTTCCAGCAGCACCCCGTAGCCCCACCGGGATCATGACTTTGGTTGCACCATGGGAGGTTGGCACTGGTTAACGTGAGCAGCAGGAGAACACTGTGGAGCTGGGATGGAGGGAGAAGTGATGGGTCCTACCCCACCACCACCATGGCTACCTCCAAGTGGGCACCGCTCCTGTCCTCCCAGCTCCTGCTATGGGCTGACACTGACAACCAGACCCTTCGTTACAGCTTTCAGCAGTGCTAAGGCAAAGTTCATCCACTCGCTGATGGAACCATCCCTTGGGAAGCTCAGTGGAACTAGGAGAGGTTCCTCCAGTGAGGCGGCACCCGGCTGGTCGGCAGCGCTTGGAGCATGGATTAAGCTGTGTTGGCATGAGAAACACAAACCCAGCCCCCTTTCATCCAACCCTCGTGGCTTGTGAGATCCTGGAAGAAGCATTGGGATGTGAAGGAACCCGCAAGCAACAACCTCCAAGTGGGATCCCTGTTGCATGTGTCGGACGGATGAAGGGTGCGTACAGGCTGTTCCAAGTCCATCACAGCCATCCCATTGCAACAGCTTCTTCCTCACCTCCTTCCTCATCCTCTCAGCCCCGAAAAGAAGAACAACCCAAAAGAGTAAAATGAAAGAAATGGAAAGAAATCCAGCGTCTCCCTCAGTGCGGCGGCAGAGCCCGCATGGAGAGTGTTCTATTCAATAAATAAATAACCTAACACACTGTCTACTACGAGAGCAAGCCCGGCTCTAGCTTAGGGAGCTGGAGCTGATTAATCCTGTACAGTAGTTGAGAAAAGACTTGGGGTCTTGTTCCTCACAATTCTCCGGGATACAGCGGCACGAACTTAGTATCTGGGGAAGAGAAGAGAAAAGGAGGTTTGTGGGAGGTGCTGTGGAAGAGACACGGAGCTGCCCCAGCACTGACATGGTGTGTTCTGGGAAGGGTAGACACCAAGGAAGGAAATGGTTTAGAAAAGGACACAGTCTTTTATCTCCCACCCCATAAATACCACATATAGGGACAGGCTGAGAGAGCTGGGCTGGGGCAGCCTGGAGAAGAGAAGGCTCCTGAAGGGGAGACCTTAGAGCAGCTCCAGTGCCTAAAGGGGCTGCAGGAAAGCTGGAGAGGGGCTTGGGACAAGGGCCTGTAGGGACAGGCCAAGGGGAATGGCTTGAACCTGCCCGAGGGGAGACTGAGCTGAGCTCTTAGGCAGAAGCTCTTCCCTGTGAGGGTGCTGAGGCGCTGGCACAGGGTGCCCAGAGAAGCTGTGGCTGCCCCATCCCTGGCAGTGTTCAAGGCCAGGTTGGACACAGGGGCTTGGAGCAGCCTGGAACTGGATGAGCTTTAAGGTCCCTTTTAACCTAAACCAGTCTTGGATTCCATGATATTTACATATCAAAATACAAAACTTGGGAAAACTCAAGTCTCCTTTTTGTATCTGGAGGCTTCAGTTCCTGCAGGACACCAAGCTGAAGCTGTCTGAGTACATCTCCACCCCATGGTGCATGGGAGGGTGTTTGAGTCATCGTGGCTCTTCCTCAATGCAGGGAATTTGCTATGACCCTCAACTTATCCCAGCTTCCCCACATGTGGGATGAACCACCCTCCCCACGGGGTTGTAACTACAGCCAGGCACTGAAACTGGGCAATGAGAATGGGACTGGAGGAGATTCCTCCACAGGAATGGTGACTGCACATCACACAGGGCAGGAACAAGAAATAAAGCTCAGGATCTGTCCAATCCCACTGCACCCCCCAAATCTGAGCTCTTGTGTGAGTGCTGAACAATCTGCACACCAAAATACCTTTTCCTGCAAGAAATGGATCACTGAATCATGGAATGGGGTTGGAAAGGCCCTTAAAGCTC